TCAGTTACAAACCATGAAAACAATAGAAACCCGTTATCTTATTTATTGAACACTATATTTAGTATTATATAGTATTAAACAAGTCATATTGACAAGTAAATATTGACGAAAGACAACTTATTACGACTTATACAGGTATATAACAACAATAAGTTTAATATATAATAAATAATTATAAATTACTAAAATTAATTAAATAAATTAATATAAGCTTCCAAAATATTTTATTTTTTAATACCAGTGATACATCAGACTGGAACTTATCACAATTTGTATAAAAAAAATGCGGAAATATATGCGCTCGAAAAAAAATGCCCTCGTGCTTTTACGATGTCTAGGATAAAAAAATAAATCACATGATCTAGAATTATAAGAGGGAGAGAACCAGTATTCTAATGAAAGCCAGAAGATGTATACATTCTATTGGCCGTTTAGTAAATAAATTATTAAACAATTTTCTTCTGCGATTCTGTGATTGTATATTAATGGAATATATACAATTTTTGATCAATAAGATATGTGTAAAAATCGTCTACGCAGTTCAAAGAAAAAATGTTTATTCTTGCTATTTACACTTGGTGGTCTATTAAACCGAAGGCGTTAACATATTGTGTATAATCGTCACATGTTAATTACTCGGAGCTATAGAATATTTATAAAAAATAAAATGTAATGAACTGAGTGGCTGTGGATGTCTATTGTTCGGCAAACGACGTTAAACGTTAATGCAATTTATTATTATTTTTATATATTTAGAATAAATATTCATTAAGTCGTTTCTTAGTTCAATTTCATTTTGGACGGCTATTATACTATTTTATTTATGACTTCATTCGTACTCACTAAGTAAAAATTTAATACTTTTTAATCCTATGGGTTATTAGAGAGTTTCCAGACAAAATAGTGACCAAATTTATCATGCGATAAATAAAACATAAATAAAAATATAGTATAAGCTACTTGTATAGTTTTGTACATAATACAAAATATGTGTACATGCAATAAATGTTTTAATTGTTATTTTTACTGTATTTATTCTTTTATTGTATACATTGTTGTCAGTCTTGATAAAGTTTAATTTTAAATTTAACCATTTTGAATTGTTCTTTTAAATCTATTTCTTTAATGGTATTTAATGGAATCTAAAATAGCTGATAGATAAATAAATTTCAAGTGCTAAATATCACTTAAAATTTACTTAGAGAAGAATCCTTATAACTATTCTTTTTTTTTTTCATGTAAATTTTAATTACTTGGCGGATATTAATTAGCGATGATGTGTGCATTACACATCATTTTCTTAATTGGCATTTTATGTGTGATTCTATCGTAATATGTAAAATTCTAACAGCTATGGTTTTATACGTCTCTGTATATATTAAACTCGTAGGTTCTTCTTTGAAGACACATGTGCGATTTGTGCACCTAAATATTATGTAATAATCGCACTTTTAACAACATTATGTATTTCATTTAATTTATATAACTGTTTTTAAAACCTAACAAAATTCGATTAATAATTTTATTAACTATGTTTAAGACTTAGAGTTAGTTAACAAAAAAAATGACTTTAAACTATGATCTGGATTCATTAATTTTGTATTGATCACTTGTTATGACTAATTTCGTAATAGATAGAATGGCAATATCATTTAATCGAAAACTTGAAACTTTTTAATTGGTATTGAGTACAGTAATAAATTTGCAAAATGAGTAATGGTTAATGTGAATCCCTAGTCAATTATTACTGCTACTTTACCTAAATTTGATGTAGCATTGTTATTAAAATATTGCACGCCATAATATAGTTTTACTTAAGTGCCGCGTCGAATGTGTACCGTTCTATATTTTTAAAAGACATTCTTAACGGTAGTTTGTTTTTCAGATATTGGCATTATTGTTGATGCGTTTTATTTTTCTTATAAGAAAAATGTTTAAATAGTTATCGAACATTATAATATATAATATAAAATGTTAGTTTTTCTAATTAATATACTTCAATAAAAGATTTGGAAACTGTCCGCTTATATCTGTTAAGAAGTTTATCTTAATTTTTATTTGTAAGCTGCATTGTCGGGAAATCATAGCTTATTAGTTATTATATTAGTTTTTAAGTACACCAGAAAAACGCGGGTTGATATTATTTTTTTATTATCGGGTGACTCATCTAAATATTTGGTCAGTCAAGATGTGTTATGTGTGATCTATTCTTAAAGTGATATCATTACAAATATTATTGAGTCTTCCTAAGTATTTAAATATAAATGTTACAGTTATACACTTTCTTACCGCTACAAATTAGATTAAGTGAACTTTTTTACACTAAATTTATTTTAATAACCATTAAATAGAATCAATTTAGTTATAGAGTTGTCTAATTGCAGTTCAATTGCAGATATGGATTTTTTTTGTATGCCATACGCCAAATTTAGTTTAAGTTCTTAATTGATAGTACGAGTTTTTTTTTCAATTTTGTAAACTATTTATTTCTGTTTTACTATACTTGTTTCTGTTTAATTCTCCATTGCTATACACTTGGCTCATTAATAGTTTTTTTATGTTATTTTTTAGGAATATTTACACGATATTATCAATAATATATTTAATATTGATTTTTTTTAAAAACGTCTTCATTTAAGGTATTGGCGTAATAAGCATACTGTGTGAACTTATTGTTTTTTACTGTTTTTTCCTTGTGTATTTTTTTTTTTGTATTCATTTAAGATGGGGAATATAGCTTGAACTAAACGCTTACAAGGTGATCCGCAAATCAATAAACCATTCTATTGTAAAATAATAATAATTTTGAGAATATTTTTTAATTTTTCAGTTATTTCAGTTATAGTTCTTGATTTATCTTGATTTATTAAGTACTTTCTGGTTCTTCCCTCATACGTTATTTAGGTTTATTATTCAAATTATTATTTTAAAAGAAATAATATTTAACTAGCTTATAAAATAGAAAATGATGTAATTAAGAAAATGACTGGTTGATAACAACTTTTTAACCAGTTATTCAGGAGATGCATATTTTTATACTTGGGTCAGAAGTGTAGCGCGGCAGAGAAATACATAATGATAAAAATAACTTAACCCTTACTTCGCCTCCAGTATACAAACAATTTAAAGTATTGACTGGTGTTGAAGAGTGGGTGCAGCTATTTTTATTACTGAACATTTCTCGGCCTCATTCCTTCTTCCTCCAATTATTATAATGATAATAACTTCTGAATTACTAGTTCAAAAGTTGAGTTAACGACCAGTCGTATTTTTAAATACATCTTTTCTATTTTATAAGTTAATTAAATATATATGTTTCGATTTAAAATAAAAAGTTGATATCCCTATAACGTATAATAGATGAATCAACTAAATACTAAATAGTGGATAAATCGATAATTATTTATATATATAACTGAAAATAAAAAATAACGCTCAGAATTATTATTATTATTATTATATAAGTAATTGAATGGTTTATTTATTGTTTCTATTACATAGATGTGATTATTTAAGCCTCAATTACACATTTACGTTTTTTTTAATAACAGAATATTGAAAACATTAGATTGTTTTATTTATATATTATCATTAATTAACCCGCATTCATTAACTCTTTTTTTAAAAAAATAGTATTTGTCTTACATATTTCGAGAAATTTGATTTGACAAAATCAATGCAATAAAAATTTTTTTTCTATTTGACTCATGTTTTATTTGGTAAGTAAATTTTTGTCCTAGGTGGTTATTCAACTTGTTGTTATATTAGAGGTCAATTGTTAACTGTATAAGATTGTAATCAAAATTAATTAATGTAAATGGAATTTTATAATATGATTTCCCCGAACGAATATTACATTTTATAGTGAAGACATTTTGATGCCAAAAAAATGTTTTTACCTTATTCTTCGGCCATCGACCTGATCATTTTTTTTTTTTGCTATTTGAATAGAACTTGTTTTTTATTATCTTAATTAGAATAAAATATATCTGACGCTAATGCATAGCTACAAATACTGTTTAAGAAAAAAATGTATTTGAATTCTTAAACTCTTCTGCAAGATTGTCATCAATACATGAAATTTTTATTTAATACTAACATGTTATGACTTACTAAAAGCTTTTTATATTTGGATTAAGGCCAGAAAGTTAATTATAATATAAATGTCTCTCATTAAACTTAAAACTTTAAAAAGAAATTTTAGAATCACTAAATTTATTTATGTTTGTAAAATAATGGCTAGCGAATCGATTCTTATACGGGTGTTAAATGTTGTTCAAAAGTACGAGAGAGAAAAAAAGAGATGTTGATTATTCTTCTTCTGACTAAACAATTAGTCGATTATTGAACTCAATTTTTTCTGTTATAAATTAAAATGTATTGTTAGCTGAATGAAGACACTACATACGGCTAAGAATTAATTAAAGGTCCTGCGAAATTGTTATAATACATATTATTTTATTTTATTTATACTGTCTATCGTCTTGCGTGGAGCTACCAAAAATGATTCTTTTTAACGTCATAGTGGTAAAAGACCAATTATACAAGATATTTACAGTTTTGAATGTGCCGAATTATGTCCTTTATATATGATCGTAACCGGAAGTGTGGTTCGTTAAACGTTTCGCATGTAATTTTATTTTTTAATGACTTTTAATATTATTTTATAGATTGAGAAATTTTAATTTTTGTAATAACTTAAAAGCCTGTCAAACCAATATTTAAAACTGTGATTTATGGGTTTATATATTTTAGTTAGAAACTAAATCCTGGTAATTTGTTTCAACAACAAGAAATTTTAATGAGTATTATTATCCTTTCAGCTTTAGTTTTAATTGATCTGCTAAGATTGTTACGGTCACTCGTCAATATTATAGACTTGATTATTTCTTATATAAGACACATTTTATCGTAAATCGATTTAATTTGGACGCAAAAATGTTTGTTTATAAATAAAGAGTATTATTATATATCATTATAAAATGTAATTTACGTTACAGGAAATTCGTAAAGCTTTAATTGAATTCCCGATCGAAAGTGTCCATATCAGTACAACTTCAGGCAGTAGTATGGCCAAAGTGATATTAGAAGATCCAGAACTTCGAATGGAAGAATGGGATTTCAATAAACAATTTCTTATTAGAGGACAACGTATTCCGGTGTCACCTACTCCTACTGAAATGCTCTTATGTGTTGCTCGTTTACCTTTAAGCTACACAGAAGAACAATTTTCTCAACTAATTCAGATGTATGGAGAAGTAGAAAAATCGTTCTTGATAATCAGTGAAAAAACTGGTGAGAATAAAGGATATGGTTTTGTGGAGTATACTAAAAAAGAGTATGCAATTGCTGCTAAAAGTGGTTTAGATGGCAAAGAAATAAGAGATACAAAATTAGTCTGTGACTGGCTTGATGGAAGTCATATTACATATGAATCACTTCATTCTAAATGTCTATATGTTGATAAATTACCAACTGGATTCAGAGACATGAGTGAATTTAGACAAATGTTTGCTAAAGTTGTAAATCCACCTTATTGCCAGGTGAGTAATAAGATTTAACCAACCAATAAAATATTTTAACCAACCTATAACTTTGAACTGTATTTGATATAGATTGCTCTCAAAAATGGATGTCCATTGGATTGGGGACTAGTTGAGTATAATTCAGCTGAAGATGCTGAGAAAGCTCAAACAGAATTAAATGGTCATATTTTAAGAGGACAAAAAATTCGTATCACATATTACATACCTGGGGTTCGAGCTATTAATTTATTTTTAAAATTATTAAATGAACCGGTATGTACATTTGAATAATTAAATTATTATTTTAATTTATTATTAACTTATGTTTTTAAATTAAATTCAGAGTAAATCCAAGTGTGGAGGGCTCTTACCAGACCCTCCTCAAGAAGTTATTGAACAATCACTTCAAAATCTTTCCAAACAAAATCCAATTTGTAAGTGCTTTTTTTTATTTTGTGATTATTAGTGATGGGCATTTTCGAATATTTTAAACTATCGAATAACTATTCGAATTGTTTTTGTACAACCGAATAGTGTGTTTTTAGCATAAACTATCGAATAGTTTTTAAAAATATTCGAATAGACTATCGAATAGTTTTAAAATATATTCGAATGGGCTAGCGAATGGTTTCAAAAAATATTCGATTAGTTCTAATTAAAATTTTTATGAAGTACAATTAATTATAATAAGAAGATAATTAACGAATACTTAAAATAAATTTTCATACAATTAATAACAGTAAAAAGTACCATTTTATTTATTTTTAGTTTGTGAGTCGTTGGTAAAAATTGATAAATTTGATAAATAAATGGGTTGAAAATTAAAAAGCAGTTCTTTTTTCCGATGACTAATGATATATTTTCAGTTTTATCGGAAAGGTTTGTTCTATGAGCAACAGAACTATTCGTAAATACTAAAGTCTTATTTTACACTTAATACCTTGTATACTGTTCTTAGTCTAGCATTACCTGCTCTTTTGTCATATAAAGGCATAACACCGATAAAGAGGACAGTGCGTTTTAACATTAACGATCTAAATAGGATTGTTTTAAAACTGTTTATTCAGGGTACTAAGATTATAAATAGGATACAATTAATAATAAAAAAAATTAGTGATGAGCATTTTCAAATATTTTAAACTATTGATTAATTATTCGAACTGTTTTTATATCACCGAATATTTTATTTTTAGCATAAACTATCAAATATTTTAAAAACTATTCGAATGCAGGTACCGAATAGTTTTAAAAAATATTCGAATAGTTTTTGAATGACTATCGAATAGTTCGAATAGTGGACAACTATCGAATAGTTACTATTCGATGTTTCCCATCACTAGTGATTATATAGGGTAAATCTTTTATCATAAAGAACTTAATAATCAAAAAATAAAGATATTAAATTTTTATTTTTTGTTTCTTTTAGGCACATAGTTTTCTTAATTTATGAATGATGAGGTATTTTTTATATTCATCATTTATACCTTATAAAGAATGTAACTAAAAAAAACTTTAACATATTTTTTTTTTTTTTTGTGGTTTATGATAAAATAATTCACACATATAATGTTATTTATATATTTATTGCAGTTGCTCAAAATCTTCAAAATATTATTTTCAATCAAATTAAAGCATCTCAAATGGGTCCTGAAATACCAGATTATTCTGATTGTAAGATCTAATATATATTATTAACAAAAAATAGTTTTATTTAATTTTTTGATCTATTTTATTAGCTTCATTAAGGTCACATTTACTTAGTGGAAAAGTTCCTCCAGCAATGCTCCATTCACCAACTAGTTTACCATTCATTGGTTCAGCTCCAGAGGTACAAAATCTAAATTTTAAATAATATTTTTTTTTAACCTAATTTTGATTTACTAATAGTATATTAAAATATATTTAGCCATTTGGGGCAAGATTGTTACCTAGTCCCCCAGTTGGAGAAGTCCCTCCTCATTTAGCTTCTGGATTATTTGATGGAGATCTGACAAATCCAATACTTGCAAATTATTATAGAGAACTATTGACAGCTCAAATTCTTGCTGGAGCTACTAAGACAAATGGATTTGTAGGCTTACCTAATAGTCATAATCCAACATTTGGTGACAATGTACAGACCAATAATAATAATTTAAATCATGTTGATGCCGTACAAAAAGCATACCAAAACCAAAATTTACAACATAATGTTGGTCAACAGCACAATCAACAACAGAATATAGTTATTAACATCTTTGGTGGTGTTAATTCCACTACTCCACCAGCGACGCCAACTCCAACAACGCCAACATATCCATTTGGTTCTTCATTGTCCATAAATATGGATCAAACATGGTCCAAGAATACTCAAACATCAACTACTGATACGTACTTAGCCAGTCCAATTGCTGCTCCAGAAAAATCATTGAGTTATTCTCCATCATCAACATGGTCTTTACAAAGCAGCAATTCAACTCCATCTCCACAATCTCTTTATTCTCCATTAGCTCCTAATATTTGGACACCAACTTCATCAACTTCATCTCTTTCGAGCCAAGATTCATCTCGTGGCCAAAAACGAGGTATTCCTCCATCACCTGAATTGAGTCCTGAAGGTATGTATATTGGACAACACTCGCAAGGTATTGGTGGTCACTATGCTGACTCATATTTAAAACGTAATAAGAAGAACTAATGCAGCAAAACATGACTTAGATAATTCTATCTCTTTTGAAAACAAATATATTATTTTTTCATTTATTTTAAACTTGATATTTTTAACATTTTTTGAAATAGTAATTTTAGTAATTATTTGGAAACAAATTTTATTAGTCCGTACTTTATATTGCTATCACCAACTTTAATTTGAAAAAATAATACAATATCCAACTTGTCTATTTCTGTTTATTTTTATAATATTATTTACATCTCTTTTTAGAATTAATATATTTAAAAACGGACTATTATTTATTCAATTATAATATTACTTAAGTTCAATATTTGACTGAATTGATTAGCTTTCATATTCAAATTATTATTATTATTATTATTATTATTTTTTGAGAAAAGCAAACAAAAATCCTTATATATAAGCTCACTATGTTTTGACTTTGTATATTAATATTAATTAACATAGATATATTATTTCACTTTGACACTTAGAGTGAACTTATTGTTCATTCATATTTCTTGGAGGCATCAAAGAGCCAATTGTATTTTAATTTTTTTTTTACTTTTTATGTGCTTAGTAAATTAGCTATACTTAATTTCCATTTTTGACAATGAGTGAATATGTTTTCATTCTGTTTTTTTGTACTATTTTTCATTTGAATTATTTGTACAATCATATTATTTAGTGTTAACACTTGCTATACAATCATTTTACTAATACTTAATTACACTAATCATAGTTTCATAAAGACCATAACTTTTAAATCTATGTGATTGTAATTTTAGTCCTTCCGTGTTAGTATATTTTTAATTATTATACTTGAAAAAATATTAACTTTTTTGTAGTTTTTAATATTAGCTGTGATTATATATGTATTAAAATTTTATCGACAAATATAGTGCTCCATAAAACCAAAGTGATTTACATTAGGACCTTTTATTTGTATTTTATTAATTTTGATCAGAAAAAAATGTTTTTACTCTTATTCCTATTCTCTACTACATATTGAATTATTTTATTTTTTTTATTTAAAATTAATGCATTCATTTTTTATGGAAATTAAAAAAAAATCATGAATTGACTTTCTAATTTACTTTTTTTATGATATATTCAAGGCTGATTAGTTAACGAGCTTTGTTTTGATTTTATATTTTCTACTTGGGTATTCTAAATTACAATTCTTTGATATTTTTGTAAAGTATTTAAAAGTATAATTAAATTATAAATTAGATTAATCGTTAATCTCTATAATTTTTTTGATAATGATTCTTACAATTTTAATAGTTATAAGATTATTTTTTTTTTCATTGCAGTATTTCTTTGTATAAAGCAAGTGTAAATAATTTTTTATTTATATTTCAATTAAATTTTTGATTATTAACATTATTATTATTATTGTTCTTATTATGTCACTTTATTTTTTCATATCTCTGTTTATTGAGTTTATGTAGTCTTTCAAAAACATAAACTGTCTTCATCAACTTTTGTTTTACTATAAAATTCTTTGTTAAGACTTTTTTAATGAGTATTTATTATACTTTTTTTAAATTTTACAAATTGAATATCTCAATTCTTTAACTGTAATTTTGTTTAGTTCTTGTTACTAAGTATTATTATTATTATTATTTTTATCTAAGCCATTCTCAAATGTGATGAATTATTGAACAAATATTATCCATCAAAATTTAACTTGTTTTTTTATTTTGAATATTACTATTATTACCTTGTTATATACCTCATATTGTGTAAAACTGATTTCATATGTGAGTTTGAGTATTATACTTAAATTTAATTATTTCAGCTGTTTTTTTTTTTAACTTATAATAATTGATAGTTATAATAATTTATTTTTACTATTAAAATACTATTTTATAATTTTCTACATCGAATTCATAATTTGTTTTATTGTTTTTGAAAAATATTAACAAACTACAAAAGGCTGACTAGTGTAATGATAAATAATTTTTTTCTTGTTAATAAAATATAGAAAAATTATGTATGTGATTTATAGTCTGCTAAAATGATCTTAAGTCTTCATGAAACTTTTATTGTTGTCTAAAATGCTTATGTTATTTAATTTAATTATAGAATAGTATTATTATTCATATTCTTGTTCATTGCTATAACTACTTGTGTTTATTTTAATGAAATTAAAAAACAATGTTATTTTAATATTATTAAACTGCTAATTAACACTGTGTAATGCATCTTTTCTGTTTAATATTTTTCTATTCAAAAAATATGTATAATTTATTTAGTTTTTAAATTTATGTTATTTTTTACTATATGATAAGTATATAAAATGATACATTATTTTGTGCTTAAAGATGTCTGTGTTTTAATAAATGATTTTTTTATTAAATATTTGTGAATTTGTAAATTATATAAAAATATTTCTTTAAAAAATGTGTTTAAGTATTTAACTTATTAAAATAATGAATCGTTTTATAAATTTAATAGTTTATACTTTATTCTCTTATAAGAGGAAAATAATAAATCCATAATATTATATTAATGTTGGTTTAGTTTAGTTTTAGTTATTAAATAAATGGGCAAGATCTACCCATGCACTCAGATCTGTTGGTCTATTGTGCACATCTACTGAATTATATTAGTTTGAATTTTTTAAATAAGAAGTAATCTAAATAATAAAATGACTGATAGTTGTTAACGACTTGAATCAGTATTTCAGAAGTTATTGAAAATTTAAAATAATGACTGGAGGTGAACAATGAGTGTTGCTTTTTTATCACTTCCCTACCATACTCTTCGTCTCGCCTAAGTATAACAATGAAAATAACTTTTCAAGTACTAATCTAAAAGTTAATGGCCAGTCATTTTCTTAATTTGATTATTCTTCATTTTATAAGTTAGTTGAATATATATTTGCTATTTATAAAAATTACATTAATACCCCTTTAAGTTATAAGAGATGATTCTAAAAAGTAATTATTTGTTGATAATTCAAGAAATATATGTAACTAAAAGAAGTCAAATTTTTTTTTTTAATATAGTATTTTGAGAGAAACTTAGGTTTATAATAAATCGATCACTATGCAGGACTTCATATTAGGTCAATCTTACATGTGTTCATAAAGTCACGTATCTAACAAAATGAAGCATTTTTTAGGGTTTAAATATCTTCTTTTAAAGAAAAGATTTTTCCAAGGTTTTAGATCTCAATCTTGGCCGACCCCAAATAGTTGGGATGAGGCCAGAAAAAAAAAAGTGTCACATTTACTCATAATGTGAAATGAATCTTTCAGTCTGTTCTATGATTCTGTCATCTCTATGTAAAGATATTTTAGCAGATAACCGTGCCCTATTGGATACGGTCATCAGGTGACTTCAAGGCTAGTCCTCGAATTATAACCTGATTATTACTAAGTACCTTAAGAGCGATGTGACTATCATTTAGGATTGTTCTTGTAGCAGGTTTTGGGCCCTTTCGTCTCACCCAAGTGATGTCCGGCCACGGCTGCTTTAACGAGTACTTACACCGTATTCGTAAAGCAGCCGCGCCGACGTGCGACCACTGTTCGGATCGCCCGGGAGAGGCTGATAGCGCTCTACACACCCTCTTCCGGTGCGAGGCGTGGGCCCAGGAGCGGGACTCTTTGGAGTCTCGTCTAGGGTCCACATTCCGAGTCGGGTCCATGGTGCACTTGATGTTGAGGAGTCGGGAGGCGTGGAGGCTCGTCCAGGCGTTCGCTGAATCCGTCTTATCAAAGAAGGAGGAAGCGGAAAGCCTGAGACAGAGGCAGCCACGCCGCCCGGCACAGGTGGACCTGAGGCGCTGGTTTATGCCAGTGCCTTAGGTTCTCATTTTTGTGTAATTTTATGTCTTGTAAGTTATTTTGGCAGTCCTCCCTAACGGTTCTCACTCTGGGATCCGGTTAACGGGAGGGGGCCACACCACGTTGCGAATCAGCTCTTGATTAATTTCGGGCTGATTCACAACGTGGTGGTGTGAATTATTAAGACGGCGTGAGCCGCCCTGAAGTAATGCCTCACGGCAGTTCCAGGGCGGCCCACAATAATGCCGGAGGGATGTGTCCAGTCATATGCCGATATTTATGCAATAAATAAACAACAAAGATACCTTTCTGATTTCTCGGAGCTATCTGTATAAATTCTCTGTTGTACCAAGTTTATACTGTGAGAATTTACACACCACTATATCTACACTTGGGAATAGAGTTTGTCCTTTAGGGCGAATCTCTGTTTCATTGTAGATTTTCCAAATGATCATGTTCAATCTCAAGTGCTGTTTTCCTAAGATTTCTAAAATAAAATACAAAATCCCTCAATTTTTCTTTATAGAACGATTGTTGCATGAATATGTATTGAATAAGTTTTTCATTTTATGAAACATGGAAATATCAGGTAAAAAATGTATAATGTATAAAAACTATTTCTAAGACTATTTTTTAGGATTAACTTTTGAAAGTTAAATGATAATCTATTACTATTTTGTAGTATTATTTGGAAAATAAACTAAATAAAATTTTATTTCATTTCTAACTAGTAACTAGCATAAATAAACTGTTGCAATTTATATATTAACTACGTATCCTAGATACATTTGACAAATAAATAATACTATTTAAACGATTGCTGTGACGAAATAATTCGCATATAGATTTCAACTTGTGTTTTCATTTGAATTGTTAGTTTTTTAGTTTATATTTTTTTATTTTGTTTTTTCTCGAGATTTTAAGGTACTCATTTTTTTGTAAATATTATTTATGAGTTTTGTTTGTTTTATTTTTAATTTTATTTTAATAACTAGTATTTAATAATTCTTGCAGTCGAAAACAAAAATTGTACTGATAATAATTTAAAGAGACACTGAAAAACTTAGTACCTAAAATCAAAATATTTACGATGCACTTTCATGGAAATATTAATAATTGGAGACAAACTGAACCTCCAAATATAAAACTGTAATTTTAACAAATAAATTTTTTATTAATAAGTCTTGCAGTAATACACATTAAAGTCAAAATGAAAAAAAAAAATTATGACACGTACTTAAAATGTTTAGGATTCTTCCTAAAATTAACAAAAATTCATTCCAAAATTTACAAAAAAAAATTGTTGGGGTAAATAATTTAAATAACTTTAATAACAAATTTTGTGTAATGAAACGTAAATATAACAGGAAAAATTGTCAAAAAAAAACTCAAACTATAAATGCACGGTAATTTCGTAATTCCTATATTTATTGTGTTTCAAACAACAATAAAACATTTTTCATAATTGTTATTTTTTTTGGCATTCTTAGATTTCCCAAACAATTATTGAAAACTTGCAAAATTTTTGATAATACTGTTAAGAATTATCTATCAGCACAAGAACATAAAATATCGATGGAATATTCTTCATGGGAACAGAAGTTAGGTATTCATGAGATTTTGGAAGATGTTGAAAGAGTAAAAATTTACAATTTGTTTGAAGACTATCCATGGGTAATGGAATTGAATGCAAAAACCAACTAAAAACTAATTAACCTTCCAAAATAATTAATTTAAAAATCAACTAAACTAATTTTATAATTGAAATATATTTCAAACATTTTAAATGAACTTTGGCATACCCTATCTAATAAAATATTTTGGGAAAAGAAAATAAAAAATAGTAAAATGTAAGTAAAATAATTAATTTTTGCTAATAAAACTATAATGTTAATAATATGAAAAAATCATTATCAAAGTTTTGTACGTCCATACATATTTATTTATTCTGTAAATGGGCGAAACTCAATACATGCAATTTAGTCATTTAAAAATATTTAGTACAACAGTTTGAATAGAGCATCACTTATAAATAAAATCAATAATTAATAAGCAACTAGTAGTTTACAAAAGTACTATAATAAAATAAAATGAAATTTCAATAAAAAATGGATTTTTACAATATCACGTAATATATTTATTAAGTATACCTTAAAACTATTTGGCGAAAAAGTAGTAAATGGATCAATATTTAGTTTATAAACAAATCGCATAATTATTAATAATCGTTTACTAAAAAAATGGTTGTTTGGACAAGGTGGTAAATAAAACAACTGTTTTAAATGAGTTTGGTGACCAAACCCCAGAAGCTCAACCACTCAATAATTTTAAGGCAATTACTATAGCAATTACTTATAAAAATAACAAATCGAGTCTGAATGTCTCTTTCCGTTTGATTAAAGCTGGAATTTTTGTAATAAAGGATCATAGGAAGTGTGAGGATATCTTGTTATTTTTAATTTGAAGCAATGAAAATTAGACTCAAAAATATTAATTAAGTTTTTCTGAGGTTGCACAGGCGAGCCATTATCAACACATTTAAAATACAATGATATATAATGAAATAATTATTTTTGTTTTACATCATGAAAATTAACAATAGCTTCGCGATATTTGTTATAGTTGTTATAGTTGTCCATAGTCAATAGTATTAATATAATTACTTTTAATTAATTATTCAATATATCATCGATTGTCTTATTAATACATTAATATGCGAATAGGGGTAAATGTCCCTGTACTGTACTGTGCTGTTTGCGAATTGACGCAATGTTATAAAAAACGCTTCATTGCATATCTTATACAGAGAGTTCAGTAAGTAAGGAAACATGTAAATCCTTACAAACAATGAAAACATTAGAAACCTGTTTGCTTATTTACTAAACACTCTGTAGATTTAACAATAATTTGTTTATATCTAATTTTACAATTGTGTTATATTTTAAACTTTCACTCAAATATTAAATATGGCTTTTAAAATCGTCAGAAAATTTTTACTTTTTTCATCGTATAGTATGCTTAATAAGTTTTAACTATTTATAAGTTTAAAAAACGCAGACATCTAAAAACATTTTCAAAAATTGAAAACAAATAATTTTTTTTAATTGGCAGTCAATTTTTCTTTAAAGATAGGTTGTCGGGATAATTTTTATTTTTTGAACATTAAATATGATATTTTATACAATTAACAACTATAAAATATTTTACATTTCAAAAATTTTAATTTGGTATATGCAGATGATCCGTAATACTTTTAAAAGTTAAGTTGAAAAGAAACTGTTTTTATTCGTGAGTTGTCTCTATAAGACTGTTCCTGTACTTAGGTTTGTCATTAGATTTTCATGAATATGACAAAGAAAATTTGTGGTCTTAAGTATATTCTGTTAAAATTTTATAAAGGTTCGGCCGTTATTAAAAAAATTAATGCAATTTTAAAATACTGAAACAAGTTGTGATTTGCAGTCTTTGATGTCTGCCAAATTTTGAAATATTTTTCTAAATTTTTAAAACTGGAGGTTTTTTTAATTTTTTGAAGGTTATATCTTCAACAAGATCAAATTCTTGGACGTATAGATCACTAAAATCAGCTTAGTGAGGGTTAAGTATTTTTATGAACAGCAAAAAAAAAACATCATTCTAAAACTAACATCTTCTCAGCTTTGCAATAAAGATAATTTTTTTTTTCAATACAGCTTTTTGGGAGCGTGAGGTTGGATACGATGGAGGGAAGTTAGTAAGTTTTTTAAGGGTAATATTTTGAAAAGTTTGTATACGATTTAAATTTGCTTTTTTGGCATTACCCCATAATTGGATGCCATAGGTCCAAATAGGTTTAATTAGGGATTTGTACATTAATAGTTTTGTGTCTAAATTTGTGTATTTATTATTAATTACTCAGGATTAATTGTAGTCTTTTTTCAGGAGTGTGATGGGTCCATGTAAATCGGCGGTCTAGTGTTAATCTAAGATATTTTACCGATGAAGGTAAGGGAATTTGAGTGCCATAATGAGTAATACTTGGACATTATTGAGGCCTGATAGCTTTTTAAAAATTTGTTTTGTGAAAAAAATAATTTCTCAATATCTTCCTCACCTTAATTCCAACTACTTAGGGTCGGCTCAAAATATTTTTTAATGTAAACATTTTAAAACATTAATCATATCAGAAAGCATATTTTTTTCAGAAATACAATTTTTTCATTAACTGAAATGGAAAATTTAATTGCGCTCTCAGAGACTTTTGTTATAACCTATTTGCAAATCTAGTTTACATTAGCGAGGGGAGCTGGTGATATTAAATAATATCATGATATCTCAGCGCTCTGAATAATTTTCTTTATACAATATCTATACATAAATTTTACTTTCCCAATATACATATTTAGCTACTGAATTATTCAGGCCTTATTATTTTGGCATATAGTGTATATATATTTATAGCTGCTAGTATTTTAAAACGATTGTGATAATATTATCACCAAATTTTATCATATTATTTCATATTTATTGATAATAATAAAAGTAAAATGTTTTATGGTGAATAGATTTTACAATAACATCTACAAAAATAACTTTGTAGTATTAAATTGTAATTATTATTATTTAATAATAACATAATAGTAATGAGTTATTTTGAATTTATGTTGAATAAAAATTATTCCTTGATTGCTGATTATTAAAATTAACAGTCGCTTAGAATATAGGAAAAGAAATTCAAGTATTTATTTAATTTTATATTGGTATAGATTTAAATTTAATTTTAAATAGTTGTAAACTAATGTTACTGTTATGTTAATGTTTGAAAAATATATTGTATAATATAAAATTATATATTATAAATATATACTTTATTAGCTTAATATATATTCATCATTAGTTATGGAAAAATCTCATATGTTATTCATTATACAGGAGAGAAAGATTTTCCATTTATTACTGAAATGAGGTTTTCGTTTTTAAGAGGTATCATGATAAATTTACTGTGAAATTTTTTTTTTGTGATATTAATTTTAATGTTTAAACTGTTTATAAATAGTCTTTATTAAATGTATCTGATTTTTAAAGCCTTTGGAAACGAGAACCTTAATTCAACTCAATATTATGTTCTATTTAATCTCAGCCATAATACTTTTTTTTCTGATAGTGATATGTGCTATAAATAAATAAATGTAAATATTATTTTTATTAATAAGTACTTATACAAATGTTTAAACAGTTTTTTAGGTTTTATGAATAATATGACTGATCTTATAGAAGAAAGAAAATCAAAAATTCCAGAAGTCAAATGCTGGTATCCACATGTAGTTATATATGATCCAATTAAAGCTGGAAGTATAGATAGTACTGATGTTGAACCACATGATTTAGGTATAGTTAAAGCTGTCAATTCTAAATTCAAAGTCAATTATAAAGTAAAAGGTGATCCTCTAAGCACAATATTTGTTGGACGACTTAGCTTAGATACCACAGAGAAAGATTTAGAAAATGTAATTATTGATAAACTTTTAATTATAATATTTTATTTAATGCTTATTTAAAACTTTTTAGGAATTTTGTCGATATGGTCGTATGGTTGCATTACGTTTAGTCAAAGATATTGTCACTGGTATGAGTAAACGCTATGCTTTCATTGAGTACAAAACACCTGAAATGGCTTTAAATGCTTATATCAAATGTAAATCCTTAGTACTGAAAGATGTTGAAGTCCTAGTTGATTTTGAATGTGGTCGTTTATTACCTGGTTGGAAACCAAGACGTCTTGGTATGATTTATAAATAATTTATTTGAAGTTTAATTTATTAAATTTTTTTAATAATAAAAAATATGTATTTATTAGGTGGAGGTTTTGGTGGTCAAAAACAATCTGGCCAGTTACGATTTGGTAGTAGAGCTAGGTTATTTAGACGGCCAATAAATTTAATGGCTAATTTATTAGATATTAAGAAAGATAATGAAAAGAAATGTTGAAGTAACTTAGGTACCAAATTAAATTAAATATTGTAATAATATAGTGTTATAAAAGTGCTATTATTTTTTATTATTTTCAACATTATTTTACTAATATTTTTGTAAAATATTTTTAATTAATAAAATTTATGATAAAAAATTTGTATTTTGGTTATAATTGAATCATTATTAGTAATATTCGGAAATATTTTTTTAACTGATAAAATAAGACAATTGAACATTTTTTTTTAATAATAAATATGTATTTGATAAATTGTTAAATTAATAATTTGTTTTGAATAATCTCATAAAATGTTAAGATTTATATGGTTTAGACTTAGTACCAATTCTCTATCATTGAGATAAAAACTAAAATCTTAAATGTTGGCAATTTTAGAATTATGATGTCTGAAGTTTTTAGTATTTTAAATATGTTAAAAGTTCTCTGTAGCTACATTAGTTAGTGTTAATCTATTATAAGAGGTATACGATTTTTAAACTAGAAATCCTTTTTGGGAATTTTTTAAAATTAAAAATAAACCTTACAATAAAATTCCCAGTAAAATTGCAACACAAAACGATGTGTAACATCCTGTTAGTAGGATCATTTTGGGGGCAGATAAGGGAAAAAAATATCATTTTTTGGAAAAAACCTCGTGATTTTTTAATTTGTATGAGAATTTTAAGTTGAATACCAAACTTATAGCTTATTTTTATTTGTAGAGGTTCCCCTAGAGTTTATAAAAAAAACCCCAATTTCGGAGATATAAATATGTATGTTATTATGGTTCGAAAGATTTAAACCTTGTAATCGTAGTGACCATGATATAATTGTACACTAGTTGATATTTAAAGGTATTAATCTGTTGGCAACCATCAATCAGATGAGATATCTAAACAAACATCCCAGAAAGTAAAAAAACATTTATTATACTCTATATTTTTTTGAAGGGGAAACTTAAACATTTTATAGACTTCAAAATCAAATTTTTGCTTATATTATTCAAAATACTATTGTTTCAATGACCAATGATAGTCCAAAGAAGGGACGCGCGCATCTATACCTTCCCACTGAATTCGCATCTGGTAACATTGTTTATTCTATTTGTTTCATTCGTTAGACTTCTTTTAGTTCTTTATCTATTTAATTTGAATGATATTACAGGTCGAATTTAAGAGATAGCTCTGGGAGAGCAATAGCTCCTCCAATTTTTTTTTATCAAATGATTCTCAGTTTTTAAGAGCGGAATATACAAAATTTATTAACATAATATGTTAACAAAAAAAAATGTCATTTATTATATTGCAAATTTTTCATCAGAAATATATATTCAACGACAATAAAATCAAAAATAAAATAAAGTATTAAATATTATTTACTTTAAGATTAAGAATAATTAGTAAATTTAATTCGAATACGATTTAATAATCATATTCATATTGGACAAGCAGTAATATCAAGTACCGAAATTTCTTCTATAAATACATTATTCGAAATTTAATATTTAAATGTAATATTTTGAATACTAATGGAATGCTTACATTATTCTAATTTATTTCAAATTTAAAGGTTATTTAATGTTGTGTACGATAAAAAAATAAAAACGTTCCATAAAGAAATTACATTTTTTGGTTAATGTTAAATTTTTTTTGAATATAAAGTAGTCATTGTTCTTTTCTTAAAAAAGTGTTTAATAGGTTGATAACAATTTTAGGATAAATAATTATTGAATTACAAGTATTTTATTAGTTGTATTTAAAGTATGTAGCGTGGGTGGGTACAACTCATATTGGTGCATATTTTTAACGTATATTCAATGGCGTAGCTAGGCAGCCCAGACCCCCATCATTTTCATCTATATTAATTTCTACTTGAAGTGATGAGCAAAACACTTTTTTACTATGCTCCCTCCCCATTATGAAATTCTGGTTACGCCACTTTTTATAATCCACCTGCGTTACATACCCACTCTATGTATTACAGTGTTTTTCCTAAAATTGTGATCAACCAATCAAAAGTTTTTATTAGAAAAGGGTTATTTTGAAATTTTGAAAAATTTAATTTTTTATTAGTGATAAATTACAAAAATATGCTTTAAACGTAAACTAAAAAGTCAATTATTTTAGAACCAATATTAACAAAATGATAATTGTATCAGATGTTGTTAACGTTGTCAGTTAGATCTGACACTATAACATAGGCGCAACAAAAAAAATAAAAGTTTTTTATTATATTTTTTTATTTGCGACAACTAATAAAACAATATGCTTTAAACGTAATGTAAGAATGCATAAACTGTTAGAAAAAAATGCAGCAAATTGATAATTATATCAAAAGTTATAGAATCTGCTAGTAAGATTTGTTCCACTGGATGTATTAAAAAATTGCCGACTAAAACGTTTAAATATTGACTAGTAGGATGGGTTAGTACACCCCTCTGCTATCCTCGGGATAGCCCTGATTACCACTTTGATTCTCAAATAAGGTTGGCTGAGTGAATTAGCCTTGCAAAAAAATATGAAAATAAAAAGTTAACTTATTCTTTTTGGGAGTATATGAAAATTTTACTCTTTAAAGGAACTTTAATGTACAATTTTACGTTAAAATTTACATAACATTACAGTTTTTACATTAAAACACAATAAAGTCTTAGATGCATCTTGGAAGGTTTAGTAACCTCAGAAAATTAAAAAAATAATATGTTTTGTTACAAATATTTTTACGAGAGGGGAAGAAATAAATGAAGTTCCCAAAAAATTTATTCTAATTTTAAATACGACTAATGTAAATTTTATTGATTAAATTCAATTGATTTACATATAATCGTAACATTAAATTTCTGAGCCAAGCGTTAAGTTTACTGTAGTTATTATTCAACTATAGTAGATAGTTAAACTGTTAAAAAACTAGCGTAATTCGTTATTCTTTACAGTTCACGAAAACAAATTTTGAAGATTGAATATATTTATAAATGATTCGTGTTAACTAATATTTTATGTAATGATCACAATTGATGATATTAATTTAAAGTAATATTTAATTATTTTTATTGACTAATTCACTATAATCGAACATTTAGTTTTGAAAAATCAAATTTCATTAGTTTTGTTATCGACTGGACAATCAAAAAAAAACTTTGTAAGGGGCAAAAAGGCGGCAAACTTATGAAGAACAAATCCCCTTCTTTCATATTTCGTTCAAATAGTTGGTTACAGAGCCGGTTGCACTTGTATCGCAAGCAACACTCTGTTCCGAATAACCAGTACACATTACTAACACACGTTAGTCTCGTGCGTCCTATCGTTGGATTAGTGTGTTGTTGCTATCCGTACGTTTGGTTATATTTAATACTGTGCATAACTTTATATATTAATTTTTGCCTGGTATCAATAAAAATTAATAGCAATCAGCTTTACAGATACATATTTGAATATACACAGATTATAATGCAAATCAAATTTTAATAAGTAATCACGGTAAGTACAAGATAGATAGTTAACAGTTATTTTTTTAAAATATCGCATCACTTTGTTTAACAAATTTTTAGAGCTTACTAAGTCAAAGATGATTAACTATAATATAACTATTTTATAAAATGCGTTCTTCAAAATAATTATGTTAAAAGTGACGCATTAATTCAATGGATATAAAATGTAATTGTTCAAGGGAAATTCAATAAAATAATTCACATAATTCAATTTTTATTTCAAAATAGTACATTAAATTTTGCATAAAAAGTTATATTTTAAGTTGTTATATTTACATTTAAAATAGTTTAAATGTTATTTTGTGGTAATTATTAGTATTACTAATTAAATGTGCAATTCAACAATGCGTTCATCTAATGGTTGTTCCTTGGGCTATACAAAATTTATTATTCTATAAATTTTACTAAAATCATTTTAAATCTGTGATCAATAGATGCATTGTTTAAATAAAAATGCATTATAAACCATAGAGTATACTTGTGAAATTAAATGAAATAAAATTAATATTTTTACTACAAAAGCAGCGTAAATATGTTAATTTGTCATAATAACGATTTTCAGAATATGCACGAAATATTCTAGAAAATATAAAATATGTACGTAAATGTTTCAAACATGAAAATACAATTATTTAAAATATAAATTTAGATTCTAAGTTCTATATTTCATTTTTTTAATAATTTATACAAATAAAAATTTATGCTAATGATACTTTGTATCATTAGCTCGAAGTCAGCCAGATAATTAGCATTACATGAACGTATGATGCAATGCTAATTATTTGGGCCTAGAACATTATTTTGATCTAGGGAACTCGATTCACGATATTCAAATTAAATAATTTTCTAAACAATAAAAATATGTAATATTGTACAACATTTTCTTACGATTTTGTAATTAATTTATTGTACGTGAGATAATCATAGATGGTCATTTGATTTAAAGTTCTGAAGATCTATAAATTTAATGAAACTATTTGAAGTTTTACAAACATTCCCTTCATTGAATTTTTTTCTTATCGTTAAAATTTTTGTGTCGCTTAAAATTCCCAATCGTTAAATTGTTGAGTAAAAAAAATTCATCAGATAAAAAAAATCATTATTACAAAGCGTAAATGAATTGTTGGCTTTAAGTCTGTATTAAGACCATGCATAGTCGTAATCATTGTATAAATATATCGTCGGTTATTAGGTGACTTGGCTGTAAGCGACAATATTCATTATTTTCAGAAGAGCCAGAAAACTATTCAATTTTTTTTATTATTAAATTAGTATATCTTATGTAGTCTTATAGATATTAATTTTCATTTATTTTATAAATACGTGTTATAATAATCTTTAAGACAAATATATTTTTTTAAATTTATTAGTTTTTGATTTTTTAGTAAAGCTTACTACTCACTCAATTAAATACGAATGGACCTACATCATATTTCGGCGTTTACGACGCATTACTTTTATATATACTAAATTATAGTTTACAGCACTAAGTTTAATGAATGATAACACGTTATAAAACTATGTTATCAATAAATGATAATATATGGAATATACAGATTGTCGTCTATAACACTATATAATTAATGTTGCTTGCTACAAAAGTGTCGACTACAGCTAATAGCTTTTTAACCGACGATATAGTGTTTTATCCATTACCGTCCAGACTTGTCACTATTTTTTTTTTCAGAATACGGTCCTATTCTCTATTTGCTTATTGATCAAATATTTTTTTAACATAGTTTTTCATGCAAGTAAATGAATTGGTAAATTAAAATGTTTCCTAACAAAAATAAGTTATTGAAATTAGGTCTAGCCCAAGAAGTTTTGTTTTCATTAAAAAAAAAACAATAATTCAGAAATTAATCCTTAAAAATGTAACATGTCACCTTAATTGGTTACTTGTCAGTGTTTCGATTCAGTTTTGGTTGCATATAATTTATAGTATTGATTTATTTAGAAATTTTCACGAATACATTAAATCAATGTGTAAACAATATGCTTTAATGTTTTTATATTTTCAATGTTTTGAAATAATAAACGTTTTGCCCATGAAAAGAATAATTCATTATTTTTCCTTATTGGGATATTTTTAAAATCACCCCATAAGGGTTAAACATTAATTAACTTAATGGATGAATTTAAATGACTTAAATTCTACAGAGAAATAATTCGTTTGAATACGAGTCGTCTCAGTACCGGTTTTTGTATACAGGGCGCTCAATTCACTTAATACCATAAATTATAAATAATAAGCAAACTGAAATATATGTATTATTCAACTTGAAACAAATTTGAATTTTACTATCAATTATAAATTAAAAGTTAAGCTCTAGACTATTATACTTTTTCGTATGTAAAATGACTAGGAAGATTAAAATTAATAGAATTATTTAAACAGGTGTTTTTCTTATTACATTCTTATTTTCCTTATACTTTTGCTTTTATGTTATAATAAATGATAAAACGGCATAGTTAATATTAAATAGACTCTATATACTTTATAATCTATATCTTACATGTATATGTTAGTTTGAGTACTATTTCTCTTAATCATGCAATGTCTTTAAACGAAACATGCTGTATATAATTATTTTTGTTGAACTGTTTTTTTAAATAAAATAATTTACCATATTTACTAGGAATAATACATTCTTCATGATACTAAAAAGTTAAAATTATCCGATAATAAAATAAAAAAACAATACTCCAATAAATTATTATTCAGGTGAAAAATAAACATACATTTCATTCAAAGTGTCTTAATTTTAAAATTTTGATAAAATGAAAAAACAAAATATTTCTGAATGAAACATTCAAATTACAGTTATTTGAATACTTGTACACCTTCCTAAATAGGAAAATCCAGTTGATTAAAATTTACGTGACTATAACTTAGTATGCAAATATCGTTATAACGTTGAAAAACGATACTGTTTTTAATGTAATGTCATCATAATAAAATTTAAATATACGCCCCTTTATTTTTCTTGTAATAGTGTGTATTCGATATATACTCGATTTCTTTTAAAATAATAATTATGTTAAGAAAATTATTTATTTTTATATACATATTTCTTGATTTAATAATTATTAAGTAACTTTTTAGTTCATTCCTTATTTATGTATTATAAGGGCATCAACTTATTTTTTTAAATTATTACAAAAATATTTAACTACCTAAAAAAATAAAAATATAATCTAATTAGATTTAAATAAATAAGTGACTAGTGGACAATTTTTGGTCCAGTACTTTAGAAGTTATTAAAATTTTTATACCTATGTGAGAGAAGAAGGGCAGTTGAATAATATTGGATGGTATTGTCAGATCTAAAAATTACTACAAATTTTCGAAATAATGGACAAAACCTTGTTATCGATCAGTAATATTTTATCAATTAAATCATTTTCTATTTTATAAAGTAGTTTGTATGTATGTAGATAATTATGTATGTTAAAAAAATAAAAAATAAAAAAAATGATGACACTGATACAAGATAAAAGGTATGGTCTAAAAAATTACTTAACTATTGATAAATTGAGACTTTTAAGAAATCAAAGAGATAATAATAATTTTTCTTACACATAATTTTTATTTTGAGAAAAATTGATTAGCTAACGTTAAAAGAATCACATTGTATTATTAATATTTGAATAATTGTATTTGAATGTATTATGTGTAATATTTATCTATGACTTTTTTTAAATTTATTTATCATCAATAGGATTCTACTAAGTAATTCTGAACTTTAATTAAGATATTAGAATAGATGCTTGAATANTAGGATTCTACTAAGTAATTCTGAACTTTAATTAAGATATTAGAATAGATGCTTGAATATAATTAGTGTCAAAAAAGTAATTTTAATATAGGGTTAAAATAAATTTTTAATTTTTAAATGATTGTGCGTATAATAATATTATACAGGGTGTTCAGTAAGTCAGGAAACGGGTTTCTATTGTTCTCATTGTTACAAACAATGAGAACAATAGAAACCCGTTTCCTGACTTACTGAACACCCTGTATATTATTATTATACGCACAATCATTTAAAAATTAAAAATTTATTTTAACCCTATATTAAAATTACTTTTTTGACACTAATTATATTCAAGCATCTATTCTAATATCTTAATTAAAGTTCAGAATTACTTAGTAGAATCCTATTGATGATAAATAAATTTAAAAAAANAAAAATTATGTTGTCTCAGCATATTTAGATAGAACATCCCGACAAATTATTAATTTCTCAGCAAAGCATTAAGAAGTATAAATTTTTGTAAGGTAAATTATATAATTAAATAAATTTTATAATTTATATTTATTACATCTGCTCAACTTATAAATGAGTTGTTAAAGACAAAAACTTTTACGGAATAAATCATTTGATTCATTCACTTATTTAGGATTGCAAATCATTGTATGTGTTGCAATATTAGGTTACATAATATATTGTTATACAGGGTGTTCAGTAAGTCAGGAAACGGGTTTCTATTGTTCTCATTGTTACAAACAATGAGAACAATAGAAACCCGTTTCCTGACTTACTGAACACCCTGTATAACAATATATTATGTAACCTAATATTGCAACACATACAATGATTTGCAATCCTAAATAAGTGAATGAATCAAATGATTTATTCCGTAAAAGTTTTTGTCTTTAACAACTCATTTATAAGTTGAGCAGATGTAATAAATATAAATTATAAAATTTATTTAATTATATAATTTACCTTACAAAAATTTATACTTCTTAATGCTTTGCTGAGAAATTAATAATTTGTCGGGATGTTCTATCTAAATATGCTGAGACAACATAATTTTTATGTTCAAGAATAAGTCTTGTTTAAAATAATGTGTTATAGTCAGCAAATGTTTCTTTAGATCTTTTTGCTTTCAAATTCAAATGTTAAGTTAAATCAAATTGATATTTTCAAAGATAGATATTACACTGATTTATTTAGTATTATTTTAACAAAATTAATTATAGCGACTTAATTTAAAAACATTTTTGTGATAACGAAATGTAATGATTTCCAAATCTTAAAATATAAATTATTTAAATACTTACAAAAGATTAGTACTAATTTTTATAAATCAAATATAATTTATTGTGTTTTTCTATCACTACTATTCTTACTTGCTTTATGGGGTTGTAATTATTTTTAAGTACTGTTTAAACCATTGATAGTGACGTCAATCGAATTTATGTGTGTTCAATAGTAGCATATGTTTTATTATTAACGTATGCTATCGTATTTAAATGTAACTCGTAAGATAGTTTTCTGGGGAGCAATAAAGAAAATATTTTTAATCTTTGAAAATTTTTAAAAATTATTTTTAAAAAATAAATGAAGGGATTTTTGTTGTGAATTTATAAATCTATTAAAATTATTTGCGTTTGAGAGTTTTTTAGTTGCGTCAAATTAGTTATTTAACCTTGGTTTAACCATAAATATATATTGAAGTCGACTTAGATTTAACAAAAAATGAAAGTTTATAAATAAAATTAAAAATTCCTTATGGTAAATATATTGATATGTTGTTAAATAAATAAATTTTATTATATTGATTAACAATTTTTATAATAAAAACAATGTTTTTTAATACATTAAAAATTTTTTAATATTGAAACATTTTATTTTATTTAAAAAAAACATAGCACTGTGAATTATTAAAATAATAATTTACATTTCTAGAAGCTTTAGCTATAAAAACATTTTTAACGATGCGACCATATTAGTAAATGAAACATTCTAATAGTTTAATAAAAGTGTTAAAAAAACATTATTGAGAACATAATTTTATGGGGGTAAACAATTTTTTTTAAATAAATAATTTTATCTATTTCAATATTTTATATTATTATCTTAATAAAATATTTTAGCCTAAATAAAGATGAAGGTATTGACTTGCTTATATATAATTATGATAAATATTTTTTATAATATTTGGTGAATTAAAAATAATTTTTAAGTATAGTAAAAGAGTTAAATTTTTCAAGTGTTATGTATACCTACTATGAGTTCAAGTTAAATTTATTTAAATCGTTAAATTTAAATTCGAGTATAAATAATAGAAATTATGTCACGCCACTTCACCAATAGTATTATTGGTATATTAATCATTATCCTGAAATTTTATTTAAGATTGATCGAAAGAAATTGTTTTTAATGGTAGTAAGCTATTTATTAAAAAAAAATCTTTTTTTTAGCGTTTTTATGTTTACACTATTAATACAACATAAACTGTTTTTTGGTTTTAAAAGAAAAAAATGAAGTATTAAATTACACAAGAACTAAGCAAATGAATCTAAAAGAGAGTATTACTTTTGTGTAGTTTTTAATATACATTATGGATTATAAAACAATAGAAGAACTAATTTAGATAAGATTTAAAATTGTTAGATTTTAGTAATTCATAAAAATGTATAATAATAATAATAAAAATATTTTATAAAAGCANGTGAATATACTCATAAATCGCCGTTGAATAGTAAACTGCGTTGTTTTTAATAATATTTGATTTAGAACAATTAAGAATTTTTGTTCAGATAAGATTTTTTTATGAGTATGTGACTAATGTGCTTATTATGAGTACTGAAAATATTATGTATACATATATATGCTTACAACTACATTTGATACAATTATCATTTTATTGAATTTTTTTTTTATTATTGTTGCTTTCTTAAACTACGTTTAAAGTATAATTTTTCTTATTAGTTATAAGTAATAAAAAATATGTTATAAACGTAGTCTGAGAAGGCAATAATTTTTTTTTTTAAATTGTCATCAAAATAATAATAATTCAAAGTTATATAATAAACCCAACCAAACCCAACACTATATAATTCGATTATGTTTTACATTTCAAAAGAAATAATCTTTTTTTAGTGGTTATGGCATATGTCATTTGCCATTTAATGAATTAGCGTATACCCTGAAATAAACAATCATATATTCTGTATAATTTGCACATATACTTTACAAAAACATTTCTAATAATAAGTTGTTTACTTCGAAATCTAAAAGTTCATTACTAAAAAGACGCAAATAATTTTCTCATTGTTTGATTTAATAGGTATTATACAACAACAATTTGTTGGTATTTTTAAAATTTAAATGGAACGAACGTCGTAGTGAAATAAAACAATTCAAAGTTCATAAATTACCTATTAGTGATAAAATTATACGGATCATGTGCACTTAGTAAGTAATTTACAGTAAATACATCATAATCAGTATACGCAACTAATGGGGGTACCAGAGGGTATTCAGCAACCAATGACTGATTTTAGTATCCTTAGGGTTTAGTATCACTTTCACTGAATTTTAAAACTTATAATTTTAACGAACTAAGTATTTTTATTTATCAATATTTTTTATTAGTTTTGTTCTATATCAATTTTCTAGCTACGATGCGAAACTGAGAAGGGATTAATTTTACTATGATGTGTCTGTTTTACTTAAACAAGAACGTTATTTTAAGTATATTGAGATATTTCAATATTAACCCAACCATTTATAAACCTATACAGCTATAATACATTATACACCCATCTTAATTAATGTGTTTGATTGAGGATGGGGGCGGACCCCTTTACAGCTTTGTGAACCTTATACAATTGTAGCATCCCCTTATTTTTTTTCTAGTTGAACCACTGTCTATAATATATATATATAGAAAGATCGAAGATTTAATGAATGTAGGTCAGACATCATTATAGAGTATTTTTTTACCATCCAAAAGTTAATCGTATTTATTGGTATCGCTATGTTATTCTATTTATGATATAGTAATTTCAGTGCTATTTTATTCATTTTTATAAAAAAATAATAATCAAATTTTTTGGTTTCTCGAAGTGCGCATCAAAATTTCAAGGTTATTTCAGTAAAAGGTAAATTAATATGTTTGAACTCATAACTAAAATAACTACTAATGAAGGTCTTGTAAACTGCATCTTTATCAATTATTATTATTATTATTTTTATCAAACTATGTTAATTTAATTTAATTACGTTTATTATTCTTCTAATTTATTAACATAAGATAATATTTTAAGTTTAAATATTTTCAATATTTCGTTATAGACTTTATTTTATTTTTTATTTTGCGTAAATAGAATAATCGTTAAAGTATTCAAGGTTTTTTTTAATTCCATATCGTGTATATTAACCCTTTGACCTATTCGAAATAATTTTGTTTAATATCAAGCCTGTTTATTTTCAATGAAAAACATTTCATATATATGTGTAAAATGATCAGCTTAATAATGTATCACAATATTTCTGATGACTCTTACTAATTATAAAATTCTAACAATCTACTTAGGTAATATAAAAAATTTAAGTAAAATACTTATCAGAAATTATTATATGTTTAAATTGTATTTTCTATCAAATTTAATTATATATTCGTACTGTTAATGGTTACATAAATATATACTGAATGATTGATTATTTGTTGACTCCTAAAATTCTTCTACATTAATTATAATTTTGGAATATATTTTTTTTTAATTTTGTTTATTAGTTNTAAGTAATTTACAGTAAATACATCATAATCAGTATACGCAACTAATGGGGGTACCAGAGGGTATTCAGCAACCAATGACTGATTTTAGTATCCTTAGGGTTTAGTATCACTTTCACTGAATTTTAAAACTTATAATTTTAACGAACTAAGTATTTTTATTTATCAATATTTTTTATTAGTTTTGTTCTATATCAATTTTCTAGCTACGATGCGAAACTGAGAAGGGATTAATTTTACTATGATGTGTCTGTTTTACTTAAACAAGAACGTTATTTTAAGTATATTGAGATATTTCAATATTAACCCAACCATTTATAAACCTATACAGCTATAATACATTATACACCCATCTTAATTAATGTGTTTGATTGAGGATGGGGGCGGACCCCTTTACAGCTTTGTGAACCTTATACAATTGTAGCATCCCCTTATTTTTTTTCTAGTTGAACCACTGTCTATAATATATATATATAGAAAGATCGAAGATTTAATGAATGTAGGTCAGACATCATTATAGAGTATTTTTTTACCATCCAAAAGTTAATCGTATTTATTGGTATCGCTATGTTATTCTATTTATGATATAGTAATTTCAGTGCTATTTTATTCATTTTTATAAAAAAATAATAATCAAATTTTTTGGTTTCTCGAAGTGCGCATCAAAATTTCAAGGTTATTTCAGTAAAAGGTAAATTAATATGTTTGAACTCATAACTAAAATAACTACTAATGAAGGTCTTGTAAACTGCATCTTTATCAATTATTATTATTATTATTTTTATCAAACTATGTTAATTTAATTTAATTACGTTTATTATTCTTCTAATTTATTAACATAAGATAATATTTTAAGTTTAAATATTTTCAATATTTCGTTATAGACTTTATTTTATTTTTTATTTTGCGTAAATAGAATAATCGTTAAAGTATTCAAGGTTTTTTTTAATTCCATATCGTGTATATTAACCCTTTGACCTATTCGAAATAATTTTGTTTAATATCAAGCCTGTTTATTTTCAATGAAAAACATTTCATATATATGTGTAAAATGATCAGCTTAATAATGTATCACAATATTTCTGATGACTCTTACTAATTATAAAATTCTAACAATCTACTTAGGTAATATAAAAAATTTAAGTAAAATACTTATCAGAAATTATTATATGTTTAAATTGTATTTTCTATCAAATTTAATTATATATTCGTACTGTTAATGGTTACATAAATATATACTGAATGATTGATTATTTGTTGACTCCTAAAATTCTTCTACATTAATTATAATTTTGGAATATATTTTTTTTTAATTTTGTTTATTAGTTGTTAATTTGGCCGACCCTAAGTAGTAGGGATTAAGGCCAGGAAATATAAATAGTTTATTAGATGTTATTTATCTATTTTTAGTTTCATTTCTTATCTATTATAATGGTATTTACTTTATTTTTTGTTACGAAACATACATATTTTACTAATTTATATAATAGAAAATGATCCAACTTGGAAAGTAACTGGGCGATAACAACATTTGAATTAATAGGAGTTATTAAGATTTTTAAATGTAGACTGTTGGCGTGATATGGGGGTGTTATTTTTATCATAACGCATCACTGTCGCATTACTTCTCTCACCCAAGTATAAAAATATTCTCTAAAAATAATATAAATCCTGAACTACTGGTTGTAAAGTTGTTATCCACCAATTGTTATCTTAGTTGGATAATTTTCTATTATATCAACTACTTTAATACGTATGTTGGCATTTAAAAAAATAAAGTTGGTACTCTTATAAGATATAAACAAGGATGGATTAAAAAATTATTTAATAATTAACATATCGAGAAATATATATTATGAAACTAAAATAAATATGAAATGCGTGTGTCTCACTTTTGATGCACGTAGGAAGCAAAGATTATTAACTGTTATTTGGATGAGTGAGCTAAAAAACAATTTTTAATTAAAAACTAACTATATAATATAATTTTTAGTTATAGTCGAATGAGGTGCGCAACATAGAAGAATGTTTATCTGTGTGTTATGATAAAAATAAAGCTATTTTCGCTCTTTTTATTTAACTTTGACAGTCATTTGCATATAAAAAATTTTTTGTTTAACTTTTAGTGCGTAACATAAGCTTTAATTTAACATGTATTCAAAAGACGCAGTTTTTCGGAACATTTTCCAAAGTTAAGTTGAAAAAATTCTAATTTTTATACGTATGTTTCAAATTTTAAATATCCCTTGTATAAAGAGAAATTGTCCCATTAAAAAAAAAAGTATGTCGGATGAAAGGGGTTATAGTATTTAGAAACAAAAAATTATGTTGATGCATGCATTCTTCAAAAAGTTATAACCATTTAAAATTGCATAAAATTAATACCTTTTTACCTCAGCTTCGCATCAAAGATAACAAACAAAACATAATTTTACTAATTAATTATGATTTTGACTTATTAACATATTTATTATAATGACTAGTCGATAACTTTTCAACTAGCAGTTTAAGAGTTATGAATATTTTTATACCCGCGGGAAGGACATTTATTTTTGCTCAGTTATTTTCTAAGTTAGAACATTTTCTATTATATGAATTAGTTAAATATGTATATACAGTAGAACTCCAATTATCCGAACTCCGATCATCCGAATCGCCGATTATCCGAATCACTTTCAGAAAAAATCAGAAAAAAATTTGTCCAAAGTCCGCGGCGTCAGTGTAGGCACAACACGTGGTAAGAGTTCCCACTCCAGTTCCGGCGCATTGCAGTCACCTGTCATTGTTTATTTTGATTAGTCAGTGAATGGGTCCCGGTCCCCATTAATTCGGATAATTGGAGTTCTACTGTATAATATTGCATTAAAAAAAATAAGATTTGTACTCTTAAAAAAAAAGTAGAAAATAGACCTAAAAGACATTTAAATAAATAAACATAAAAAATTCTCTAAATATTATTATAATATTACATATTATTTTAGAAGAAATCTGATATATATATATAAGAAATAAGAAATGTTTATATATATATATATATGAGAAGTATTCAAAAAGTTAGGAAACTGATCAATTGTTACAAAATATGAGAACAAACCTATTTTCTTACGGAATACACTATATATAAATAAATAAATAATTTCTAACTATATAAACATGGTCTATATTATAAATAAATATTAATCTAACCTTTTTTGGAATGGTAATTGATTATTTTTAAAGTATAGTTCTATCTGGATTAGTTTTTGTGTCTAATAATATTAGTATACTTTTAACTATATTTTTATGTAGTATTATTCTTTCTTTCGTGCGTTAATCCATCATAGTCAATTTTTTTTATTAGTTTTTAAATCTTTAAATAACAGTTGACCTCAACAGTTTCATCTATTACGTAATGTTGTGTAACATCTTCTTAATGAAAATAATAAACAAACAACAAATCTACAATGTACAATTTTATAATAAAATGATAATCGTATATAACATAATTTCTTTGATAACTTATTACACAATTTTGTGTAACAACTGATTACTATTTTAATAAACCTTAACACTTTTCTGAAATATATTATCATATGTTTAAATATGTTGTAGTAAGATGTTAAAATGATATCAATATAATATACTATTATTTTTAAATTATCATTTTAATAATTTTTTCTTTAAATACTTGAATCTGATCTTTTCTATATTATTAAAACTGTAATAAGATTTTAAGATCAAATTCGGAATGCAACCTAACTAAAATTCTATGTCAATATTTTTCATTTATCATAATCGTACAGTAAAAGTTTTAAAGAACCTATTTTATATTTGTATAAGAAGGAAGAAACTAAAGTGAATATAACTGAAATGTTTGTTAAATTATGGAGGAATAATTACAAACTTATGAAATTCTCTTAATTCAGTTTCATATTTTCTAAAATTATTAATTAAAATTACCATATTATTGTTATTTTGTGACGTTTTATTAGGTAATGTCGTCTTTGTTAAAAACTCAGTTCGTAGTCGACAGCAACACTCAATTAGACAAAATATCATATCGAAATGATCTTGATAAGTCATTCGGTTATAAACGAAAATCAAACGCATCTTCGACAATGGAATATAGCGACACCGAAAAAGATAAAGCTTATGAATTTCGTCTTAGAGGTAAAAATTGTTTTAAAAGAAATATCAATCCCGATGCTTTTAATTTTTGACAAGAATATATGAAGCATGGCAAATAAATGTAGCGTTTTACTGAAGTTTTCTTTAAAAAATATTTTTATAGTAGTTAAAATAAGCACATTTTTTTATAACGTATTAATTGCACGTAATATTTTAATAATAATTTATTAAGGTATTGGATATTTTGCCGTAGTAAAATGTATAGCAAGTGATGTTGCATGAATATTAGAAATTAATATGTACCAATATTATTACATGCTAAAGATAGAATGTATTTTTCACTTATGAACTTATGAACGTAAGTTTAAATGAATCAATACTGTTTCTTGTTGTTTATTAAAAATTACATAATCTGCACTATTATGCACTATGAAAGTATAATATCATACAACTATGTAAGTTTATACAAAAGTAATTTCGAACAAATTAAAACTGATATTTAATTTTAATAGTTTTATTTGTTTTTCGTTCATCTAATTGATTTTAATAATTTTACGACAGCAGTATTAACTATTTGAAATAAAATAGTATTCTTCGTTGAAATTTTATTTTTAACAGAATGTCCTTGTTTTTGTTTTCAGTCATTAATAATTGTTCGGATATTAAGTCTATTGAAACCTAAAAGGTGATATAAGTTATTTACTAAGTAATTACCGTTATTATGCTTACTGTGACTTCCTGAATAAATAAAATAGTTGTATATGTAAATTAAATTTGTAATGCATGTGTAACTATTTTTAAATAACTCATAATTGAAAAATATACAAGGTAGATGGAATAACATTTAATATTATTAGTAACTATATATAATTTAGTAGATTTAATTTTAAATTGTATATCATAGTCCATCCCAAAGGTATTATAAAATATTTAGTATAGAATTTAAGTAATAATTATTAGAAATCATTAATAATTTTAATTATTTTATTTTATTGTTTAATATAACAAAATTTCATATTGAATGTGTACCTTAAATGTTTTAGACACTATAATGCCAGAAAAATTATTTAAAGTGATCATAATTGGGGACCCAACTGTGGGTAAAACTGCATTTGTTAAAAGATACGTACAAAACTCTTACAGTCGAGAATATAAGGGTACTGTTGGCGTTGATTTTGCTCTGAAAATCATTAGAATATCTGATACAGAAACCATCAAGTTACAATTGTGGGATATAGCAGGTAAATTGCCAAAACAAATTTAATTTAATTATTGTTGCGAATAAAAATAAATGCCACTAAGAAGCCATAAAAATAACAAAATTGTCATCTTGTAGAGTATCAGTATTTATTATAGAAATATAAAATACAGTATTTCAACAATCAATGATTGTTGAAACTTATTTCTATTTGTATGGACATACAAATACACACACTTATCTTTACTTATTTTACTAATTGAAGTTCTAGAAATCTATAAATATTTTTTAAGTTCTACAGCCGAGTTGAATTTCATATGGGATATGATATATATATGTATAATAAAAATAATTATAATATATATCATAGATATGTCTATAACATATTAATTTCCATGTCTTTAAGTTTTAAATAAATAAATACTTGCACAAGTTGAAAATTGTAATAAAATTTCATGTAACAAGGCTTTACACTAAAACCGTACTTATCATTTAAGTTAAACTTTATACCCGTATACATGTATAACAGGTAGATTTGTGATATGAATAGTTTTATATTTGTAGGTGTTTATGTAAATTATTCATTCAAACACATTTATATTTATGTATTGGTCATATTCATGACTAATAAATTGCCATAGATGCAATTTCAACATAATTTGTGGAGAGGCACATTATTAATAAATTTTTCCTTTTAGAATTTTTTTGAAATTTTGGAAGAGCTAAGCCCCTTTAATCCTCTCAATTTGCGCCAATGTACATCATATTTTAAAATTTCTAAAAATGAATTATGTGAGCAATTAAAAAAGATAAACTTATTAATGAACAAATAACAATAAATATTTTATATAAGTAAAATTAATTTTCGATTTTAAATCATATAATTAAAATATGAATATTATTTTAATTTTTAAGTGATGGTTATATAATTTAAAATTAATGCATTGTTTATACTTAATAAGTAGAAAAATTTAAAAAAATGTCTTTTATTATTCATTTTTCTTTAAATCAAAAATGCATAAATTTTATGAGAAACTTTGTTTGTAATTGCTATATCAAAATTTATCTGAACAATAAGATAGGATAAGATGACGTATGTGGAAAGATGACAAATTTAGAATTTCTAAAAATTAGTCAAACCTAGCATCACATACAACAAACATAACTATCTAAAAGCCCTCTACAGTACACATTGTTACTCACTAGTTCTTACAAGCATGTGCATGTCCATTGTAGTTGTGAATTAAAATTCATATTTAACGTATTTTTATGTAATTTTTGAACATCAAAACATTAGGTATTGCTAAATAAAATGTACTCATATTTCTATTATCTTTAATAGTCTAAAAGTATTACTTAATACCTATTAATAATTAATAAGTATTTAACACGGAATATTTAAAATACCAAACATTTAAAAATTAACATTGGTCTAATAGAACGTTTTAAACTGTTATTTTATTTTTTTAACAATCCTAAACTATATTATTGTCGGGTCGGTTAAATTAATAATAAATAAATTTATATAAAAATGTATAAAGTAATTATTATTCAATTATTTTGGGTTGGAAAATTTTGATTTATAAGAATCTTTATTTATTCATTTTTAATTGTTAATTATTTAAATTGAGTTTTTTTGCGGTAATAATAAAAATATAGTCAAAAATAACTAAAAATTATTTCTTCGGTAAAACCTCATGTACATATAATTTGATATAGAAACCTTAATTTGGTTGGCAATATTACAGTATGCCTCTGTAGAAAATTTTGAATCTTATCGTCTCTGTATATTCAATCAACTGTGTTATTTTCTTTAATAAATATATCAAAAAGGAGTCAATCAATGGTAAATCATCCAAAATTGGTTGCACGGCCACCTTATATTTTTCTTTAATTTTCAGTGTGTATTCATTGTCCTATATTTGGATTAAAACAATTTTTTTTTATGACCTTCCCTTTTTTTTTTGGCTATTTTAATGTAAAAAATGTTAAAAATAGCCAGAACGTTATTAAAAAACACAAACATTATTCAATATTAATTTAATCGAATAAAATTTTAGAGTTGACTTTATTATAATTTTAAGTTAACATTAAAAAAAAAAAAAAAATTATGTGAAATTGCAAACTTTAATGACTTTTTAACATGACGTTTTTCTATGTAAATTGGCGTTTTTGAGTTCAATTAAAATCCATTAAGAAGTTATTATTTATGGTGGTATTAAAATGTGGTAATGTATAATTTATATTTCAACTAAATTTAAAATATTTAAAACAATTTTCTTGCGATTTAGAGGCCTACAAAGTTAGAAATTTCATAAAAATACACTTATTCTAGGTTCATTACTTCTGTTGGGGGACCTAATTTCAAAAAACGGTAGCATTGTGGGGTTGTGGCATAGTTTGGACAAGCTTAAATGATACTTGGCAGTGATTATAATCTCTATCATAAGAGGTCCTTCGATGGAAATCTGTAGATAGTGTTTAATTTTAAGAAGTTGGTGGATTATTACAAAAGCAAAAATAACTTCAATTTTTTGTTCTACTTCAACTTCCATTTTCAAATAGAAAACAGGTCGTCGGTACAAATTTTTTTTTTGAACTTTTAGTGAATGAAATAATGCTTTATTTTAACATATATTTAAAAAACGCAGATTTCCCGGATCATTGTCAAAAGTTATGTTGAAAAAGTATTACTTTTTATAAAAATTTTCAAGTTTTCAAAAATTCAAAAAACTTTTCTTAAGTTTGAAGAGGAAAAATAATCAAAATAAAGTATAAATTTATATTTAATACAAGTTAGATTCATGTAAATTTTATATTTATTGGTGGACTCATTACTATGTCAAACCCTTATAAAATATTCTAAAATAAACAAAAAAAAAATAAAATTTGAACAAAAAAAAAAATAGTATTTTTTTAACTACGATAGCCATTTGCAAGTAGAAGATAAGTCATCGGGACATATATATATATATTTAATTTTTAGTACGTAACATAAGCTTTATTTTGAAATATGTTTTAAGGACGCAGTATTTCCAGAACATTTTTAAAACTTAAGTTGAAAAGTTGAGCTTGTAAAAAATTTGCTATTTTGAATCCCCCCCCCCTGTAGGCTGGTAAAGGGTCAGATTATCAGTCATAAAATTTATATCAAATTAAAGAGTTTATTTAAGGTTTCAATGTAAAAAAAAGTTATTGTGATTTGTTCATTTTTCAGTAAGTTGTGACAATATTTAGAAAAAAAAACCCAGCACAGCGGGGTCGCGGCACAGTGGTGACGTGGCATAGTTGGATCAAGTATAATGATATCTGTCAGTGATTAAAATCACTATCATAAAAGACGCATCGATGCAAATCTGTAGATAGTGTTTAATTTTAAAAAATTGGTGGATTATTCCAAAAGCTACATGATCTGCTAGTTCCTTATTAATATCCCGATTAAGATAAAGTATGTTAAATGAAAGAGGGATTATTAAAAAATATTATTTCTCAAAAAAAATTGTGTTGATCCATACATTTTTCAATATGTCATAGCATTATAAAGTTAAAAATGTAAAAAATAAAATCGAGAATTTTCACACAATAATAGCATTTGGTAGCCATTTTCACCGTGAAGATAAAATAAAGTCCGAAATTTTTTTTTTCCATAATAAAGTACATTACATTAGCTTTAATTTAAGATATATATATAAATGTCAGACCTTCCGGAACACTTTCAAAAGTTAAGTTGAAAAAGTTAATTTTTGTGAAAAAGTTGTCATTTTAAATCCCCTTATGTGGGCTGATAAAGGATTAAATTTATAAAAAAAATATAGCAAATGATAGGTAAAGACATCAAGTATCTATAAAAAAAAAAGTATATTGATTTGTTCATTCTTGAAAAAGTTATGGTAGTTTTAAGTATAAAAATTGAAAAAATTTCGAAAATTAGCGATTTTTAAATTTGTAATTTTTTTGGAGGTTTCCCCTATTTACGGGGAACGAGGGNATTTAAGTATAAAAATTGAAAAAATTTCGAAAATTTCGAAAATTAGCGATTTTTAAATTTGTAATTTTTTTGGAGGTTTCCCCTATTTACGGGGAACGAGGGAAATTTTTTCAATTTTTAAGGGTAATGTCTTCGACTAGATACGATTTGTGATCTTTTGATGTATCATTGAAAGAAATTGGTATTGTGAGAGCTGAGAAAAAGTAGTAACAGACACACAAAAAAAAAAAACACATCATAGTAAAACCAATACCTTCTCAGCTTTACATCGAAGCTAAAAATTCCGAAATTTACTGATTTTAAAAATCGTAATTTTTTGGGCGATTTCCACTATTTACGTGAAACGAAGGAAAAATTTACAATTTGTGATTTTTGACGTATCGTTGAGAAAAATCAGTCCAATGAGTGCTGAGAAAAAGTAGTAACAGATACAAAAAAAAATAAACATATCACGATAAAATTAATACTTTCTCAGCTCCGTATCGAATTTAAAAATGTTTTTTAAATTTTTTAGTTATATATATGCTTAATACAACATAAAAGTCTGAGAAAAAATTGTAACATGTAAAATGTAGCATTAAAAAATCAGTTTTTTGTTGTTTTCAAACCACATATTTGTAATTGTTTTTAGCTTCGATGCGGAAATGAGAATGTTTAAATTTTACTATTATGTGTTTATTTTTTTGTGTCTGTCACTACTTTTTCTCAGCTCTCACTGGACCGATTTTTCTCAATTATACGTCAAAAGATCACATAAATATCTAGACGAAGATATTATCCTCAAAAATTTTAAATTTCCTTCTTTCCCCGTAAATGGAGGTTGGGTAATGGGGGAAATCTTCAAAGCAATTAAAATTTAAAAATCACTAATTTTTGACATTTTTCAATTTTTTTTTACCTAAAACTGCTATAATTTTTTTTTAATAGATACATGAGGTGTTTACTTATCATTTTTTTTATAAATCTGATCCTTTACCTGCCCACAGGGGGGATTCAAAATAACTTTTGAATGTATTCCGAAAATACTGACTCTTTTATATGAATCTTAAATTAAAGCTAATGTAATATATTTTATTATGGGAAAAAAAATTTCAGACTTTATTTTGTCTTCATGGTGAAAATGGCTACCGAATGCTATTTTTTATTAAAATTCTCGATTTTATTTTTTACATTTTTAACTTTATATTTTTATAACTGAAGAAGGTTTATTTTAAAATAACTTTAATCAAAATTACACTTGATACTGACCACTGATGTGATGTATCATTATGTTACATAAAATTTAAAAGTTAATGATGAAATCAGTAGAAGAGATTACTTGCTTTTGTTTAAATAACTTAAATTAACTAAATATTATGTCCATGTATGGACATTAATCTTCTTTAAGTAGTATTAAAATGTAACGTTTTTAAATTGGATTTCAGGGCAGGAAAGATTTACGTGGATGACACGAGTATACTACAAGGACGCGCATGGTTGTGTGATCATGTTTGATTTATCAAATAAAAATTCATTTTTAAATACACTCAAATGGAAAAAAGATGTGGATGCTAAATGTACGCAATCGGATGGTAGTCCAATACCCTGCATGCTCTTAGGAAATAAAGTGAGATCAATATTTAATTTTATTACTATGCATTTTAACATGTAATATGAGGTATTTGAATTTAGGTTTTATTATTATAATAACTTTCTTCAAAATATTGAAAATTTGGTTTGGATCGGAATTAAACTACTTAGGAAATTGATAAACATAAAGTAGTATTACATACATACATATATATGTATTGTAACCATATACAAAGTGTTCAGTAAGTAAAGAAACAGGTAAATTGTTACAAACAATGAGAACAATAGAAACTTCTTTACTTACTTAACCACTCTATATATGTATATTTTATGTTTGATATCCTGAAAAGTTAGAAAAAGTAAAATACTGCCTTTTTCGTTGCGCATATCGATATATGATATTAAATACTTGTCTTTACTAAATCATAGAAAAATTCATTCTGACCAAAAAAAAAGCTTAAGTAAGAAGTTTCCCAACCCAGTGTGGTAAAATACCAGGATACTCATCACACCATAATTGGGACAGAAGTTAAATAAAAAGAATATTGAATAAAATTAAAAGCTTTTAAACTTTTTTTTTTATTAAACATTTGAGACAATAATTGCACATTTTTCGAACTAGTCGTCAGTTATCGAATTAATAGTTTTCATCATTATTCAAATGATATGGGAATGGATACATTATTATATATACCCGGAGACCTTTTTTTAAATTATTAAAAAATAATTTTTTAAATTTTCTGTAGAAGCTTGAAAATATTTTTCTTGTGATTATCTAAATAGTTGATGAAATTAAAATTACTAGATTATTTTCTGGAGTCCACTGAAAGTGCAGTTTGTAAATTTATCCAACGCTTCTATTCATTTTACAATATATTAATCATTAATAAACACATAATTATTATATATTCCATTATTACTACATTTAATATGGTTTCAAGACTCAGTTTCTCAAATATAAAATTATACAGAATGTTCAGTAAGTCAGGAAACGGGTTTCTATTGTTCTCGTTATTTATAACATTGGGCTGTTTCCTTACTTACTAAACATTCTTTATAATTCGCCTATTATTTATTTTATTGACTATGACTTAAGAATGGTTAGTATTAATTATATTATAATATTCGTTAAATGTCATTGTTTTAATGAGATTATAATTATTTAATAATATTGTATGTTATCGTGTAATCTATGAATGACTTAAAATCTTCTAGTAAAAAATTTTAATGCGATCGTTTAATTTTACAAGCGTATATTCATACTTTTAAAAAATCTTAAAACCCAAAACTACTTATTGTTATTTTAAGTCAAGTTAAATTGTTGAAGTTATAATGTATTTTAAATGTAAAATAGCTTAGATAATGTTCGGATATTTATGATTAGATAATATTCATCATTACCTTAATCGGTCAATAAACTGGTTGTTTGTTATGTACACAACAACATATAATTTTACTTAAAAACAAATCATAATTAAATAATCAATTTTACAATGAATGTTATTATTTTTTCTAGTGTGACTTGCCTCAAAGACAAATCGATCAATTGGACATAGAAACGTTTTATAAAGAAAATAATTTTATTGGCTGGACGGAAACTTCAGCCAAAGAAGGACTGATGGTCAATGATTCTATGCAGTAATTATTTTTTCTTTTAAATAATTAACTACTTTGAATATTCGTTAGTCGTGAAGTAATACTATACTACAATTTTTTCAATTTTGTATTTTAAGTTTTAAAATATATATTGAGTTCAATTTGTTTTCAATAAATATTTACTAATTTAGTTTTAAAATTTATAGATTTTTAATTAATTCAATGATGGGTCAGTGTATAGAAGAAACAGACCAACCGGACTTAGTAAAGCTCAGTCGTCCAGGACCTGAAGTAAAAAAATCATGTTTTCCTTGTTAGCATTAATGATTGTGTGGCTCTATGATTATTTATCTCTAAGAGATAATTTGTTTTTTTTTCATACACAAATTATATTTGTGTGTATAAACATCCGCAATTTTTTTTTTTTACAATTTAAATAAGTTATCAGTTAATGCTACGGCCTATGTGCTTAATGATAAATAATTGTATTTTTCTGTCTAACTTTTACACGAGTAAAATAATTATAAAATTAAAATATTTTTACGAAAATGTGCACATAGTTTGTTTAAAAAGTGTCGAATGATTTTCATTCATAATGATCATTTTTATTGTTATGATTAAACCAATTCAAATTTTAAACTCTTAAATCAAGACGATTCTTTTAATAATAAAAAATCTTTTGAAAATCATAATTATAAATTTTTATGTGTAATAATATTCAACCTTTAGTGTTCTTATTATATAAAATATCTTGTATTATACTCATTTATTGTCACCTTTTATTATGTATATTTTAACGTCTATTTACCCTTGTTTATATGTATATGTTTTGTTTTTGTTACTGTCATGTCAATCTTATAAATGAGTTAACTAATATCCATTAGTAATTTTTAAATTTATTTAATTTTAATATATTTAATGCATTTATTTTAAAACAAAATATTTTTTTAATGAATTTTTTTTTAAGTTGAATAAAATTTATTCGATGTTTGTTACATTCTGTTTTTGATGTTTCTGAAAGTAAAAATTTAATTTTAAATAAAAGTAACATAATACGTTTAACTTAATACTTAAATTTTAAGTATTATTTTTCCCAAATAAAGATAGCTTATATGCCAATTTTATCAAAAATAATTTTCAACAGTAATTTCAACAAAAAATTATAATTTCATAAATTATTTTATAAAGCTTGTTAGTTTACGAACTTATATATATTCTATATTATTTTTATATTTTTCCAAAACCTTATTTTAGCAATTTTCTAGAGAAACAATATCAATTCAAATTTCAATAATGTCTTATTGAAATCGACATCTTTGAAATACTAAAACCCATTCTTGATAATATTTACTTAAAATTTTTTGACACATATGAGAAAATATCCTTCTCTGTATAAATTATAATAAATCTCTAAAGTTCATTATTGTAACCTATCAGCCATTGGATATATGCCGCAATTATATTTTTCAACATTCAAACTCAGTATTTTATATAATATTGCATTTATTCGATTGAAGCCATAAAATGAAAATAGTGAGGGTCTTTTATTATACATATATGATATCGATACGGACTAATCTTATTATAAACCTTTCGGTTTACAGTTACAAGACCGTTTTTTATTTTTTTTTCAACTAAAATAACATATTGTTTTTAGAATTTTTATTGATTTAAAATCTTAGCGCCTATTTTATTATATAACTATATTCTTTTAAGTAAATATCATCAATATTTCTATTTATTATAATAAAGACTATTAAATTTTGAATTTAGAGTATAAATTGTCCTTTTTGAGTATATTTTTATTATTATTATTTTTAAGAAAAATACAACTAAAATTAATTGAAGAAAACGTAGAAACGTTTTCATATTTATGATAAATATCAAAGATATGGAAGCACACTGTAATATCTTCGACAAATTATTCTAAAGTTTTAGTAGTTGTATGATTTAAACGAAGCATAATGCTCAAATATAAAAACGTATGGAAAAATATTCATTGAAGATTAATACAATGTGCTAAAACATTAAAAAAATTTAATTTAATTTAAATTACTATTTAAGAATTTATAAATTTTATAAAAATTTATATTACTTTATCATCTGTTTAATTAATATACCTGTATTCTAAACTTCATATCAATATTGTCCTTAAAATTTAACATTTTTAATATTTGTGTATTTATTTCATCAATTACATTACCAATGAACATATGCAGTTCTCTTTGCTCGTGTAAAAGATTCATAATATTTTGTTTTAAAGTCCATTCAAAATCAAGTGAAAGTGTATCAGTTGCTAATTCTGAAAAATTTTCTTTTAAAAGTTTAATTTTACTTTTCAAGTAATTTTTAATAAAGTTACAGAAATATGAAAAGCAAGGTTTTATTAAGCCACAACCGAGAGTGTATTTTACTTTTCCTGATTATTATTCAACAATTTATATGATAAAAGATTGCCGACTGTGGTGGAAGGTAACATCTACCCTCCTTAATGCATTCTTGACAATACTTATTTTCAGTATAACTCATAGATTATTACTCTATTACGTTACAAAACCTCGCATTTATTTAAAACTATATTAACTCGAAAATTAGTATTTTTTAACTGATTGATAAGAAAGTGAACATTAATAAATTAAGTATAAATTAATTAATCTCCAAATAAACTTATTTTTTTTTTTTAGAAACTGACTTTTTCTCTTTCTTTTTTCTTTGCCTTACAAGATAATATCTCAATCTATAATTAAAACGTTTCAGTTTACTATTTCTATCGACACTTGAAAAAGAACTATGGAAAAATTAAATCGAAAATATAGGACACTAAAATTAAATTGTTTAATTTAAAGTTAAATGTATCAATATTAACACGTTTTATGTCAAATACCTCATTAAGATTGTATTGCTAGGTCTACTTTTAGCTTTGATGCGAAGCTGAGAAGGTATTGGTTTTACTATGATGTGTTTTTTTTTGTGTGTGTCTGTTACCACTTTTTCTCAGCTCTCACCGAACTGATTTCTTTCAATGATACGTCAAAAGATCACAAATCGTATCTAGTCGAAGACATTACCCTCAAAAATTGAAAAAAATTTCCTCGTTCCCCGTAAATGGGGGAAACCTCCAAAAAAAATTACAAATTTAAAAATCGCTAATTTTCGAAATTTTTTAAATTTTTTTTAATTAAAATAGCCATAACTTTTTTAAAAATAACCGAATCAATATAATTTTTTCTATATAGATGCATGATATCATTAATTTTTATTTGGTATATTTTTTTTTATATATGACCCTTTACCTGCCCACAGGGGGGGATTTAAAATGACAACTTTATCACAAAAAATTAATTTTTTCAACTTAACTTTTGAAAATTTTCTGGAAAGTCTGACACTTTTATATACATCTTAAATTAAAGCTAATGTAATATACTTTATCATGAAAAAAAAATGTTCAGACTTTATTTTATCTTCATGATAAAAAGGCTACCGAATGCTATTTTTGTGTGAAAATTTTCGATTTTGTATTTTACATTTTTAACTTTATTCTGCTATAACTATTTGAAAAATGTATGGATCAACATAATTTTTTTATGAGAAGTAGTATTTATATACATCTTTCATTCGACATACTGTTTTTTTAAATCGGACTATTTCCCTATATACGAGGGGGGTTCAAATCTAAAAAATGCATTTAGAAAGTAGAACTTTTTCAACTTAACTTTTGAAAGTGTTCCAGAAAGTCTGACACTTTTATATATATATCTTAAATTAAAGCTAATGTAATTTACTTTATTATGCAAAAAAAAAATTCGGGCTTTATTTTATCTTCATGGTGAAAATAGCTAACAAATGCTATTTTTGTGTGAAAATTTTCGATTTTGTATTTTACATTTTTAACTTTATTCTGCTATAACTATTTGAAAAATGTATGGATCAACATAATTTTTTTATGAGAAGTAGTATTTATATACATCTTTCATTCGACATACTGTTTTTTTAAATCGGACTATTTCCCTATATACGAGGGGGGTTCAAATCTAAAAAATGCATTTAGAAAGTAGAACTTTTTCAACTTAACTTTTGAAAGTGTTCCAGAAAGTCTGACACTTTTATATATATATCTTAAATTAAAGCTAATGTAATTTACTTTATTATGCAAAAAAAAAATTCGGGCTTTATTTTATCTTCATGGTGAAAATAGCTAACAAATGCTATTTTTGTGTGAAAATTTTCGATTTTGTATTTTACATTTTTAACTTTATTCTGCTATAACTATTTGAAAAATGTATGGATCAACATAATTTTTTTGTGAGAAATAATATTTTTAATAATCCCTTTTTCATTCGACATACTTAATCAGGATATTAATAAGGAACTAGCAGATCATGTAACTTTTTGAATAATCCACCAATTTTTTAAAATTAAACGCTATCTAAAGATTTGCATCGAAGCGTTTTTTTTTTGATAGTGATTTTAATCACTGTCAGATATCATTATACTTGATCCAACTATGCCACGTCACCACTGTGCGTCAACCCCCTGAGCTGGGTTTTTATTTTTTTAAAAACAATATCTATTTTTTTCAATGTTCTATTGATATTTTTCTATTCTTATCTTAATTAATTTTTTTTTTGTTGAATATAAATTTTTTAAATTAATTAATTGAGTTAGCATACTATGAACCTAGAGGTTTTTGATATTCTTTTACTGCATATTATTAATGTTGCGAGGTATTCAAGTATTATTCAAACTTCGTTATTATCGAGTCTTCTTGTTCATTGCATAATGTTCAGTAATATTAAATAATAGAAAAGTAGGGATACGGATAAAATTTTACATATTCACTATCTATGTAATTTATTTTTAAAGCCTTGAAACTATCAACTACAGCTAAAAATAATAGATTTGAGTAATATAAATTATTGTAAAATCACTCACCTTTTTTGTTTATTTTTAGACGCATATGTTTTATGTCTAGTAGTCTCTCCATGTATTTTTTAAAATTGATTTCGAGTGAACTTTAAAAAAAAAAGTTTCTATTAATTGTAATATAAATCATTTTTTTTAGTTTCAGATTTTTTTAATATCCCCATTTGACACATTTAGAGAAGAATAAGTGACCTTAGCAAACTTGAACAGTTACTTTCCTAAATATCCTTATAATAATTATTTTAAAACCTTATCTAACCTAAAAACATTATTAATCAATCTAAATTATGCAATTTATATAGTTTTCAATATCTAAGGACATAGGCGCAAATAGCGTTTTGAATTTGGAAGTGCTTATGTTCCAAAGACGAAAAAAATTTTCTCACTCCGCTTGGTAAAAAAATTTATTTTTGAAGTATAAATATTCGATGTTTTTATAATTTACAACATTATTAGGAATACTTTGTAAATACAAAACGTGTGTGTTCTAAATTTTTGGGCTTCAACTTTGATTCTCTAAATTTAGTAAAGTATATTATACAATAAATAATATATAGATTAATTTTTATGTTTGATATAACAATTTGAAACAGTATTCTACCCAAGTATGGTTCTTAGATAATACTTTTTAAATTATTAGTCTTCAATAGGAATACTATTTTGCTTTTTTTTTGACATAAGCTATATTTAAAAAATTGTTTTACTAATTTTAATATCATTTTCTCTATTTTTACTCTTTAACTTTTTAAATCTAGTTTATGTGTAATTCAATAAAATTAAAAAAAAAATCATTAATTTTAATAACAAGCGAAGAAAACCTATGAAATGGAGTTTAAGAAATAAAAATGAAGGTTAAAAGTATTAAATTGTAAATATTTCTAACTATCGAGCTTTTTCTAGTTTGGTTTTCTTATATTTGGCGTCCTCAAACAATCCATCATTTTCTTTAAGAAACTTCAGCCATTGTTGATTTGTACTAATAGGTATAATATCTACAAGCATTATTTCATCGACCATCGCATTTAGTTTTTCTACCTAATTCAAAAATGAATACAAATTCACTTAATAACACACTTGGATAAAAATTGTAATCTTACATACTCTGTTAAAAATTTCTTTTGTATCCAATATCCATGTTTCATAGTTTTTTTCTACATCTGAAGTATAAAAAATCGTAATTATTATTAGCTAATAAAATTTTTAGTTTTTATTTCTATACTTCAGGGAAGTTGTAATATTGTGCAATTGCAATAATAAGCATGGTTTATCTTTACAATTACTTTTTTTTCGTGTTATACGCTAATTTTATAAAACCTATTTACCCCAAACCGATAATATTATAGTTTGTGTAGTCACTACTCATCTTTAGAATTTCGTATTACACACTATGTAATTATCATTAAGCTCAAAACTTGGCGCTAATATTAAGCATGATTTACTTACCAACGTCACCAAACACGTTATCCTTTATTTGTTCCTTTGCTCCTTTTTTAAACTCTTCATTAAACTTAATTTCGTCACCTTTCATTCTATAGACAGAAAATTGATTTCTTGTACATGTCTAAATGCCAATCCAAACGCACCTAGCCTTGCATTTTAAAAATACCCTCAAAATGTTTCACTCTAGGCCCGTGCAATTTCTAGCGCTTTTTTTCCACGATAGGGCCGGGTGAGAAATGTTTTCATCATACTCACCCGGCCTCATTATTTAATTAAAAAAATTAATTTAAGTTCTAATGACAATTAGCCCTGCTAATTATTAAAATCTTACAATAATCGTAGTTCTTCTCTAAACATTGAAAAAGCTATGGGTGGTAAAATATCCGGCAATGAATCATGTTTTAAAGTTTGGTTGTTGTACATTTTAATAGTAGCTTTAATTTTCTTATACTTTTGAATATTTTCTACCTTCACTAGGTCGTCAACTAATTTTAAGTTTATTGAATCATTATTTAGTTTATACAAATTAGTCTGAAATAATAATATATAAATACTTTATCATTTGAAAAATAGTAATATAATACAGACTCAGAAAATAAAAGAAGTGAACATTGTGATTTTTTTCTTATTTTTAAGGAATATTATTTCTTATCATGCCATGTCACGCAATATTATTATTAATTATATTTAAATTTATTTATAGTATATAACAAACTAGTAATGAATATAACTAAAGAGTGGTTTCGGGCACTTAAAAATGTCTGTACTATAAGTGCTACTTAATAAAAAATTTAAGTAAATTATTTTATGGTACGAAAAATAGATTATTTTTACAATCAAATTTACGCTTTTAATTAAAGGTAAATTACTTGTAGAAAATAAGGAATTAAAGGATGCAGGTATACAAAAACAATATCAAGTTATAAAAGAAAATATTAGACCATGTTCAAATTTTCGTGTACTTAGATTAATGCTGCTATTTATGTGCATTTTAAAATACATCAGACCAATCTGTCTCCTCATGATAAATTCTCAAATACTATTTCGAAGCTTACTAGAAATTATATGCCGGGTGCTCAAACATGCACCAGGTCGACTTTAATATTCCATGTTTAATTGAACCAACAAGTGAGGAATTTTATGGCATACATTTACCAAGAAAAAATTGGAATTTAAAAATACAATATTTCAAGAATTTGAACATATCTGTTTATAGATAACAATTTTATTATCATTAAATATTTACTTTTATTAAATCTATATCATTTGATGGAAAATAGCTTCGAACACTCAGTGATGGCATCATTTCCAATGAGGTAGCTAAACTTAACGTAGATAAAGATATCTCTAAGTTAGAATGTTCAGGTCTTATGTGACAAACTAACCTGGAAGATAAATTTAATTAGAATAATTAAAAATATATATTTTAGATATTAAACTAATTTTAGGTTTTATTAATACCTGAAATTGCTGTTTAAGGAGATTGAGTTTTTACAGAAATTTAACACTGGCGATAAATGTTTGCTAGCCCTTAATACATTTTCAATATTATCTGACTGTTTAGCTTCTGCTAACCTCAAAAACAGTGTGTTAAGACTGAGTTTAATTCTATTCGCTGTGGTACTTTTATTAGTATATATTAATGAATTTGACCACTGAATGCCAGCCATATCAATTACATGTATCTTGAAAAAATACATTATGTCATATTGAAAAATAAATGTATCTTTGAATTAGAAATAGGGGCATAAGTAATTTTTTTACTTATAAGGAAACTGTAACTTACATTTTAAATGCAGAGACTGGTACCTTTAATATTTTTAGGAATTGTTTTTAAATACATTGTTAAAATAAAAAATGAAGAGGTTTAGGTTCTATTAGGGGTTCTTAAATTTTTTTTAAGGTCTCTAGTTAAGAGCTGGTTCTAAAATTATTAGGGTTTTAGTAAAAAAAAATAATTATTTTAAGAATGTAGGTATCAATTTAATAATTTATATAATATAATAACATTTATATTATAATTTTAAGCTTCTAAAAGGTGGTATTGTGGTAAGGTGATATGTTTCTGAGAATTTTCTCTAAAAAAGACAATAATATTTTAAAGTCGTTTTTATTATATTTTACATAATTATAAAATGGTTATGATTTGACAGACAAGTAAAAAATTGATCACTTACAAATTTATCTATTCAGCTTCAGATAATTCATTCAAACAAAATTAGAGATATAATGTACTTCAAATAACAAAATTATTCAATTTTATGTTTTTGAATTTACAAATAAATATATTTAGAAATTATTAAATTTGTACTTTACGGCCAAACAATTTACTGTAATTAGATAGCCATTTTTATTGGAAATGTTTCAATTGCATCTACGCTAAAGTATTATTAGGAATAGTTATTATTTTTAGTTTTTGATCATCAAATAAAACATTATCAAATTAAACATAAGATACAATATAAATTCCAAAACAGTAAAAAGACATTTTAACAGAAAAATATTAAGAAAACATAGAAATGCAAAACATTTAGAGAAGCCATAGAAATTATAAAAACATTAAGAAACCATAGAATTTCAAAAATTATAAGAAGTTATAGAAATGCGAAAAATTGAGAAGCCGTAGAAATTAAAAATATTGAAAATATTTTCAAAAAAACATAACATGTCAGAAAAATATAATGCAAATCTAAAAAAGTATATATATATTTGTTATCTAACTTATCTAGTTGTAGTTCTATGTTGTTCTTGTTGTTATCTAGTTATAGTAGTAATCATATGAATTCCTTTATTTTATTTTTTATTGCTTTATACAATAAAAAAAATAAAATTTATTACTGTTTCTAATAGACGTTAAAGAACCGGTTTTTGGTAGGGTTACGATACTTTAAAAAGGTTTTTAAATTAATACTTTGAGGTTTACGTTCAGTTCTCGGTTCTTTATTTTCTTCGTCAGAAACGATTTTAAACTGATCTTTAAAGATTCTTTTTTAAAAGATTTTAACCTTTGCTTAAATGCATATTGATCTAGCATAGATCAATTCGTCTAGAATTACGGAGAGTTTATAAGTAGTGAAATATGTGAAGTGTAATTTTTGCACCAAATTTAGATTATGTATTTTACACCAAACCAATTATACGAAAATACAGTTTTTAATTTGCACCAACAGTTTCATAATTCGATTATTTTTTTGATATTACAACTCCACAAATAATTGAATACTTACTACAATCACAATTGTGATAACTCACGATTCTTATTTAAACTATTATATTATTTGCAACGAAAATTGATTATAATTTTATACAATGCACTGTAGTAATACAAAAATAAGCAAAAAAGAGGTTGTTTGGGTAATTTAATTTGACCAATGTTGGATGTTAGGGATTTGGTCAATTCAGGAGCAACGAGGTTCTATCGGGGTTGTAGAGTCCGAGGGTTTAGAACAGTAAAGACAAGTATATATAAAAAGATACAAATTAAGTTCCTCTCATAGAGGTATTAAAACCNTATATAAAAAGATACAAATTAAGTTCCTCTCATAGAGGTATTAAAACCAGTGGCGGAACTACGTTCACTGAGGCCCGTGAATACAATTTTTCGAAAGCCCTATTATATCTGTAACCAAATTCAGCTGA